GCTAGTGACTTGGTGATGGGCTCATTTGTGGGAGTCCAATGTTTGTTTGTTTTTTGTTTGAGTGTTTTATGCTTGTTGAATTTTCTGTTGTTATTTCATTATTGAATTCCTTTGCTTTGTTTTGTTTTAAAAGTGTTGTGGAAGGGAATTGAAAAGTGCAGCATCAAATTATTGGTGTTAGTGATTTGTTATACTCATAATACTGTCATGAAATTACTATGCTTTAACACGCACCCGGTTGGCCAGCTAGATACCCTTCCCTCGGGTGGGGGGGGGGGGGGGCAATTTATCCCCCTTTGAGATCTTAGGAACTAAGAAAGCTAGAGACACCAAATTTACAGGGTATCTTGACCTATACGTGAACTCACTTAAGTCAGGGTTTCAGCTTCCTATGTTATGACCATCAGGTCAAATAAGGTCAAACAAGGTAAAATTCCAGGTTGGTCTCCAAAGCACCCCCAGAACCTAGACAACTGTCTCTAAGCAAAAGTTCATTAGGCCATTTGAGGTCATCGACCTTGTTTGACCCTTTGAAGGTCATGGTGACCAAAATGATGCAAGACTGCTCTGAGTTTTGCATTTGAATAAGCGACAAAGATTGCGCTAGCCAGTATGTCCCTAAAACAAAATGTTCAACCCGGGTCATCATGGGTCAATGGCCTGTTCTGACCTCTAAGAAGTCAACTGAAGATGTATAATGCGCTTCCTGTTGTCAATAAATTGGAAATGAGCACCAAAAACTATCCCATACAGCACGCCCTAGAGTAATACATCAATTTGGTTTTGACCTTGGTCTGACCTTCATACCTGACCTTAGGTCAACGTAACTTGCTCATGCAATATTTTTGGTGCCTAAGAAAGCATCTCAGAGATTTATGTCTCCGTCAAACACTCCGTTGTTGTATCAGATTGAACGATTCCCTAGAAATTGCCCTCGCTGAAACCATGGGCTGACTTTGACCTGTCATAGGTCAGCGACCTTGCAAAGTGCATCTAAAATTTGTATGTCAAACGATCCGCTATGCAGTTTTCTATAGCCATGCAACATTTGGCGCGGCTACGCCGCGCCGTTCAGAAACCATTCAGGAAAAGCCCTCGTAGGGAGGTCAATTTGCTCCGCCTCTCCCGAGCGCGTGTTAATTTATTCTGTTTCACTTTAATGGCCTAAGATGTTATAAAACGAAATAGTTTTGTCAGGTTCCTGATATTAAGTCCATGCCAACTTGAAATAGATGTCTTTGCTTGCTGAAGCATCAGTCACGAGCTCATGAGTTCCACCTTTTGTGAGTTGATTTTTTCACCGCACGGTCTTTTTGCGATGGAATTGTTCTCTCCTACCCTAGTTCAAAAACGATTCTAGCTCGCTGTGTCCACCTACCGACCGTCACAAAGTTCGCTCGAGCCCCCGGGACTGCTTCCCACTGCGGCCGATATCCGCCCCACGCGGTGACGCCATGAGACCCAGCGGGGGCCTCGGCGCCCTGGGCAGCATCCGGCGTGTGAGAGAGACGACGAGCCGCAGTGCGGCTTTCGGAGCGGCGGGAGGGACGGGGTAGACGCCCACCAGACCGGTGACACCTGGCTCCGGAGCTTATCGGCAGGGTGAATGGTCCGATTGGAGGGCGGAGCCGCGGGACGTGGCAGTGGTTGGAGAGAGAGAGGAGGTGGGGCCGATACATGTCCGAACTCAACGTTCGCGAGAATACGAGCCTTTACGATTGCTTAAGGCTTGGAATGCTATCGGTTGTGTAGGCTATACATTGCGAGATACTTGAGCGCAGGGCGCGGCACCTGCTTGATCAGTATTGGGCTTCGCACGTTTCTGGTGACAGCCCTGAGCAAAGATAAATGGAGTTCAGTTCGAATAGACAAGGCGACGGACGCATTAACACATGACACAAGTGATGTAGACAAAGCATAAACAATGAGCCATCGCAGCCAACCCGCACTTCCCTGCTACCTGAATGAACCCCACTCCAGCTATCTTGCGATCGCATGTGAACCTGCTGTACTCCATGCAGATGTAGTTGAGAAATTTGCTTAAACCCCTTTCATGTTCACTGATATTTGACTGATCTGAGCTGAAGCTTAAAATTAACCGAATCTTTTCCACCGGCTTTGTTCCCACCAGACCACTCTGCCGATGCATCCTTTATTGAAGAATAGGCGTGTCGAGACGGCACCGAAGCTTTTCTTCATAGGTTGTATATTGTCCCTGGGTATTCTACGCCAATTCAACCGATCGAGCCGTCCGACTTCCTGGAGTCTGTACTTGATTTGGGGCCAAAGTCGTCGATTACGTCTTCACTGTTCTGCTTCCTTCCCGTGGCATGTTGCGAAGAAGTATCAGGTACAGTCTAGCTGAAATTGTCTTCGGTGAAGGCACGTGTTCGGAAAGTTGCAGCTCGTTTTAAATGTGGTAGCTGATTTACCGGTATAGTAATGAGTTTTGCAATGTGAACAGTTGCCTATCTCAGCGACCGATTTATCGTCTTCCGAAAAGTGTAGCCCGTCTTGGTTCCGTGCCAGGTAAGTCGCTTATTACACAAAACTTGGCGGTCACTTCCTTGCCGTCTTTCATTCAATTTCAGCGATGCCGCGTACGTTGATAGGCGTGCTTGACCCCAGTGGAATCCTAGGATGATATTTTGAACCGAGGATGAGTAATGTCCTCGAAAATATTTGCGCCAAATGTACACCATCTCGCTCTTTTTCCTTCAAAGGTCCAAATAAGCCTCTCAGGTACGCGCATCGCGTTTTTGCGACGAGAAGACGCATTATCAGGTTTTTTTCATTTTAGTGCCGATCTTCTCAGCGAATTCACTACTTGTTTGACATAGTGTTGTTTGTGTTCTGCTGTTTTCATGAACCCATCAGTGTTACTCCGCCTCGTCGTCGTCGTTCATGCTTCGCTATTCCGTAACAAATAAGCTGAGAACACTTGCTGATTGGCAATCTTTGGCAAGCCCCAGCATGCATCTATCATTTTTTGGATCACACGGTTTCCGGTAAGGTGATCTAGGGCGGGTCCACTGTTGACGGCGTGCAGAATCAGTTTTGGACTCCGGTGCCATTACACAGACGCCGACGGAGTGCGGTCTGGCGGAACGGGCGAGCTCACACCACGCTGGTCGGGGACTAGCGGAGATTGAAAAGCCGAGCGGTTCGGCAATTCCTTGTTTGTACATGTGACACACCTCCCGGGGTTTGCCAAGGCCATGAGTTTCTGCTGCCCTTCAATACTGCTATCTCTATCACGGATGTTAAAGCCATCTTTAACGCCAGACATGAATTTGCTGACGTCGTCTCTTTAACAACTTTTTAACATCTCTCATATCTCTTTGACACAGCATGCGATGGCTTCATCATGCGGGTGTTGCAAAAACGCCCGCTTCCCAATTTAGCTTTCGAGATCGTTTGACCTTCTGTAGAAATGTGCTGAACTTGTTCTTTTCCCCTGGATGGTAAACGGTCATAATTTACATTAGGATAATGTAAAGCATTTTTTGTTTATTAGATCTCTCCACCAGCTCTGCCATATTTTTTCATACAGTTCGCTGTCAGTTCTATTCGTCCCAGCCCCTCTGGCATCTTCTATTTCAACATAACGTGCCGTCGACTCAGGACGCCATTCGAGGTCTCTGGTGGCTGACTGCAGTTCCGTTCGAGTTTCTTTCCACAGTAGTTATTTGCGAAATCTGAAACGAACAAGACGACAGGAACTAAGTATGCTAATGTTTGAACCCTATGGTGATGGAAGGGAGACATATAATGCTATTGGCCGCGTCAGCGAGGGACTTAGCGAAGTCATACTGTTCATCTACAACGTGGGTTCATCACTTCTCTGCCAATTTATGTCAATTAAATGGAACGCTTTTCTTTATTTTTCGATCGTACATTTACTAAACATTATTGTTAGCAGCTTTTCTATCGCAAATGTGCTTAAATGATGTAATCACCTTTTTAATACTGTCGACTATACACCCGAAATGCATGACCTATGGTTACTCAACGTCGTCTCTCAGAAGTTTGCCTTGCGGACGAATCACCCCATTGCTATAGACGTTTCCTGACTTTGCTCGAATGAGAGCTGGCCTGATCCCGCGCATGGGTAGGAGGTGATCATGCTGCTGGTGGCGAGAACCAGGGCGTAAACAGCGCTTCTGCTGGGCTCCTCTGACCCAGAATGTGTTGCATGTGCCGAGCTGGTCGACGGCTGGTGGTAATCTGGCAGTATCAAGGCGGACTGTCCACACTGAGGAAATTTCCTGTAGCAGTTTGCTCCCTGCATTATGCGGAGTGGGCTTCTTCAGTTTTCTGATTGAAGGCCGTACCTGCCTACGATGTTTCTGGATAAATACAGCTGGTGATCGTCAGTTCGCCGGTCTTTCTGTCTCTGTTTATGCTTTTTGTTTAAGGGACTGGCACATGTATCCACATCTATGGCAACGCCCTTCGTTTTCTTCTAACTTACCAATAGCCAGGAATGGCGCCACGGATTTTGTGGTGGGTGACGGGGTTTTCCATGCGGCCTTCTGGATAAAATGGGGTCTTCTCAAGGGCGGGATCCCAGATAGTGACATATTCAAGGGAGCGGAGGCGCCGTGGTCACCCTTTATCAAATTGTTACATGTCGCAATACCCATGTAAATAGATACCGACAATTGGAAAACCCAGAATAGCGGCCATTTACTTGCTACCGGGTACTTAAATCCAGGAAAGGCCTCCTCATCGGAAGACAGGGTATCCTGTGGAGTGAAGGCCTTCCTGATGGCTACAGGGCCCCCTAGTCCAAAACAGGGCACTCATGGTTCACAAAGTGGGCCTCCAACTCGAAAATCAAAATCTTCGTGCCCAGGTCAACAGCACCCGGAGCGCTGCACCCGCATCCTCCCCCTCCCCTCCCCTCCCCCCTCTCCCCCCCCCCCCCTGTTTTCCAACGTGTCGGCCGATCTGTGGTCCTGTTCACGCTGACTCGTGTGACCTGGCCTGCGTCGCAGATGGTCGCCGCTGCAAGATCGACTGCGACGCCGTGTTGACCGAGCTCGAAACGATCGACGATGACACAGACAAGTTTGGTGTGCAGCTGGTCAAGATCAACGACAAGAAGCTGGCCAAGAAGTACGGCATCACCGAGTTCCCGGCACTCACCTACTTCAGAAACAAGGAACCCATCAAATACCAGGGTAAGGCACGCATCTTTCCGGACTACAAGCGTTTCGTCGTCGCAGGCGCAGGATTTGTTGCGTGATCGCCCTGGTTAACCGGTGCTTCACACTATGGCCACGCACCGCAATGAGATGTTTTTCCATTTGGCCCTGATCTTCGCGTCGCAAAGACATCGCGAACGCCAGAGCCATTAACTCGCATAGGAAAGGGCAAATGTCTGGTGATATGGTCTAATTGTTGATGGTTTGAACCACTTTTTGGCGTTTGTGGCTTGCATCGTGCATGCATGCCTATTATATCTGTCCGAAGAATTAAAATTGTACTGGGCGGTTGAATTTGCCCGTGGTACATTTCTAAACTTTATGGAATAGGATCGTTGAAGGCATTTTCCTGGGTGAGCAGGTTGACTTTCCTTGGAAACGAAGGGATCAGTTTGCTTGCAATGGTGCCTCAAACGACCACGATTAGCTGGTGACTCCGTCGTGGTTTTGTCTTTAAGCAGATCGTTTCCTTAATTACGCGCATAGCGTTTGCCGAGCAGCGCACCAGCTTGTGTTATATAAGCAATAAATTGATGCTTAGAAATAAACCATGCATTGCATGTTTATTAAGAGGTCGTCGAAACTTGGGGCACGCTCTCCATGACGTCGTTAGGCAACACTTTCAAAACCTGGTTATCTCAAAACGTGGCAGGGGCCCAGAATGGTGTGCGGGAGATTGGGAATCATCGGCGTTTGTCTGTTTGATCATGTCGCTAAAATATTGAGGTGGAAGCAGGCGACCAGCACGTGTAGTCAACCAAGCGTGCGTTCTACAATCTGCACGCATTTCATGAAAGGAAATGGAAGCTCAAGGCCATGTACTGAATGTTTTTTTTTCATTCACAAGGTAGGCGGATGGCTACTGAAGAGCCGCTGTCAAGTGCTTTCCTCCTCGCTGGGTTTGCCACAGACTGTCAGCACGTGTTCCGCAAACTCGTCGTTGCTCGTCGTGCCAACAGTCGCTTGTGGAGGGTAACGCTGAAGCGGCATCCATACACATTTTCTAGCTCTTTTGGGTGATTAGCAGCCGCGTGTAAATGAGGCAATACACCATACTCATGAAACGTTACAACACTGTTCATAAGGCATGGAATGAAAAAGTGCCAATCCGCATTAATCTCAAAACACAAGCTGCTCTAACGTTTAATGCTGTCCTGCCGTCGCTGCCCCGAGTGCCACAGCTAAAAACAAACACACTCGCACTGATGCACGAACAACCGCCGTATAGACTATGCTCTCCTTCAAACTGATTTAAGCTACGGCGTCACCCTGTGCCAGAGTATCAAAATAAATTCAGCGGTAATCAGCGGGCTGCCTGTGTCATAAGCGGAGTCGAGTCCAATTGCCGTTTGCGGCTGTAATCAAATTATTTGTGATGGAAGCAAATGTACGCCTTTGCTTAGGTTAGCGGAGGAAACGTCAGCCGCAACATTTATGACCGGACGGGTACATGCATCGCCCATTTATCACCGGACGGGTACATGCATCGCCCATTTATCACCGGACGGGTACATGCATCGCCCATTTATCACCGGACGGGTACATGTATCGCCCATTTATCACCGGACGGGTACATGCATCGCCCTTTTATCAACGAAGTTTCGATAAAACTGCACATTCCCTCCGGATATCCGGTAGAGTCGTGGTGCTTGTCACATCCAGCTGTCCTTCAATTGCCTGTTGCAGCACGCGATTTGTAATACCTGATGTCCAGCAAATAAGGGTCGTAGCCCCCACACGAGCCCGTCACCTAGCCAGTGGCCCTCCTCTTTCCAACTGGTCAGCCATCAGATCACGATTGGCGGCCTCCAGTCGCGTACCGCCAGCGTCTGCCAAATGTTGGCTGGAACACAAATAGCCTGCCCCGGCTGTAGATGCCCCAGCAGATGGCTTCGCCCTGTCCGCGCCCCCACCGTCTTCGAGCGTGGCTGATATGAAAAGTGAACGCAGGGAGACATCAATGCACCAATCACATTTATTTGCTCCCAGGCGTGAGTCAGCGAGGATGGAAATGCCAGTAGCGTTCAGATAGCACACTGGTTTGATTTCATCGCGACATCCGCTAAGTTAATTTCAACATGATTGAAGGGTTTCCTCCAATCAGTATAAATCCCATCCATACCCTGTATCTAGCTAGCGTTTACCTGCTCATTCAGAGCAGCAGATTGACACCCGTTGATTGAATGTGCCTGCTCTGTCAAGCATGGATTATGGTTTCACGCTAATGACAAATCTTTGTCCCAGACTTCGGTGTGATCGCAGGACATACTCTCGACCGTTTAAACTTGGTGTCGATGTAATTCATGGGCTAGACAGAGTCAGTCCCCCGTATTGCTGCGTTCTGGGTAAAGATGCAGTGACGTCATGGGACTAAGTCATATGGTACTAATGCTACGGCCGCGTGAAAAAGCTGTTTTTGCGGGCTGGTTTAAACATAAGTGTTTCCATAAACCGAACTTTTTAGGATCTAGCACATTCAATGAAGCATTTTTAGATGGGAAATGACATTGGTTTGCACCAGAGCTACAAAATTATTGCTGAAATGCGCTACCAGACTGTCCCCGACAGAGAGATGGGGTAACCCATTCACCCCTTTAACAGTGATTTGTCGCGGAGAACTCTGGCCGAAAGTGCTTAGAAATAGTCTGTGTAAAAGAGTACAACATACAGCAACAACAACAACAACATGGGGGAGGGGGGAGATGAGAAACGGCGGTCCAGACGGGCTCGCAGCACTCTGGGACGCGCGTTGAGAAGTTGGAATACGCATCCTGTAGCCTTAGGAGGGGTATTGCCGGGATAGATACAGGTTTGGCTTGCCCTAGTGGAGGCAGTGGGAGGTGAACTCCGGGAGGCGTTAATGCAGAGCACCATTTCAGTTCAAGATAGCAGATTTTCCTGTAAAACGGGACGATTTCTGGGAAGTTTTGCAATATACGCCAGTCAAAGAGTGATGGCCCATATCTCTGCTGCTAAATGGTCTTGGGGATATATAAGGGTAGTCGGGGTATTGTTCCCTACGTACCCTTTTCACCTAACCCATCCGACATTATGGACCTGCAAGTAAACCGACGACTAGCAAGATGATATAGTAAAGAAACAGCGAAATTGTTGGCACCTGCACTTTTTACGTTTCATTATTTTCACATTTTATTCCATTTAGATACTGCAGTATGACGACAAATGGACAGTCATTGCCAATTCATGAACTTAATGTTAACATGCATATCATATCCATTTATTTACGAATGAATATACACTTCACAAAAAGGCGTTACATGTAAATATTCAGGCACCTTGACTACGACGAATGTTGCGCGGGCACTAAACCTAGAAAACGTAGCTTAGTAGGATATAGTTTTGGAAACAGATCGTAGTACTGATTTATCTTTAGAAGAGTTTGAGTGTGAAATGTGCAATATCTATCCGCATAACATTGAAATAAAGATGTAGAACAGGGTGACCACCCATTTCATGGGTGAAATCTCCGTTCGCAATCATGCTACTAGTATCTACCAACCTTCACGTAATATCAGCCAAAGACCATACTACGGGCTACCAAATTTTATTCCCATGATGATGTCACGTCTGCGTAGCCTTCTCTAGTAGCCTTGGATAGGGCATACTTGCTATCTGCCGGTTTGTCCATAAGTACAACGATTTTGTGTCTTTTCGTCCAACGATTTAGTGAATTCATAGCAACGAGGTTAACTCTAACTTACTAAGTGTCATTAAACAAAGGAGTTGTATCTGTTTGAAGAACAGTTGTGAACGGACTCGTATATAATATTGTCAACAATTTCAGTCAACTCAACGCGGAGCACTACTGACGTCGCTTTCGAGTAATGTTCTCACGTCGCTACATAGAGATTTATGCATCACTTTTGCGCAACACAGCGGTGTGTGAGTAGCTGGCCACAGAGCCATTAACGAAAACTATATTTCCATGCTGGGGTTTCGTCCCAGCTCTTTTCCATGATGCTCTTTTATATTGTGTAGCCAAATCGTGTCAGGCAGAACGCTGAACCTTGGATTTTCCACGACGACCAGTGTGTTATATCCTGGCAGCGTTTTCCACCCTACACCGGCCAGGAGCGGCTCCAAACATGATTTATAGGAGTATTTTAGGGCAACGTGTATGCCCTTTAGCGGGGTGTCTTTGCAACTACTTCATGCATCTTCAAATTGACGTTTGACTGACATAAGTTGTCGGCTCATCAGATTTGTCGCAAAGAACCGTTGACTTTGGAATAAAATATTCGGATTCTGTGGACGTGTGTATGAGATACGCTACAGGAGGGTTATCATCATGGCTAGGGGGTAATATCATGATCAGATGACATTGGTTTGGGACTGAAATCGATGTGTGATTACGTGTCGAACAGGACTGTAGTTTTTTATTTGGTTTCGGTTGGCTCCCCCTCCCCCCTACCCACTCCCCACCTTGATAAGAACGTTTTCCGAATCCGGGATAACACGTTTGTTGGCAAAGCTTTAGAGCAGGCTGCGTCATCGTTCGCTGTTCAGCCCCTCCTCCCGGAGCTCATTTTGCGACACTGCGCCGCTGCTGTACGATGGCTGTCAAGTTTGCATGTTGTTAATACTAAACGTACTTATCTTGCCTGGAGGAATAAAGGTTGTGCCAGCAGTGGATTTTGCATAAAGCGCCCAGACGGATCACTCAGATTTGTATCTGCGCTATTCCGAATAGATCGAACAAAGGAACAAAATGACAGTGGCATCCCAACAGACGTCAGATGGTGCAAAGACTTATCCAGGAAGTCACGGCTGCCGTATTACGTACAGAAACGTGGAGATAAAGCTGTTGTAATGTTTTTTTGCATGTGTCAACGATGTGCGAAACTTCACTTTTCTGCCAACTTCGCATATGTAGCGTTCGTCCTTGGTGCGGGGCTGTTGTCGTATTCTGATATACTTAGTTGTAGCGTGAAGTAGATGGGTAGCCGCTCAATTCGCATCGTCAAGCTATGATCAACATCTAGCGCCTTTATTCTCCTCATTTAGTTTTCATTCGGTTCAAGCGGAAGGGTAATGTCGCACATTTTGCGCGTACCACGCGATGTCCAGGCCCTTTTTGAAATTTTCTTTTCAATTAAAAGCTGTGTTCAAACCATAGGTTTTTCTCTACGGATGGCATCATGTAATTGATTTTTAAACCGTTTTTGACGGGGAGACCTCATTAGACATCACACGCCGACATTGGTTTTTGATATATGTAGTAAAAACATTGTGATCGTATGAATTCTGAGATCAGAGTTTTCGCTAACCAGTGCTTGTTGCGTGAGCCCTGACACCACCAGCCGATCGTAGAATTCCGCCTCAATGGCAGAATTTGGGATTAAAATGTAACTTGCATCAATACTCGGCGAAGTCCACCCCACCCTCTAACCTTATATGACCTGGAGCGGACACCGCCACCGGCCACAGGCCATCCCAGCCAGGGGTAAATAGCGAGCGCCGAAGCGACTTGAACTCCCCTCCCCCCTTCTAGGGGTTTGATGGGAGGCAGGTGCCCTAACCGTTCGAGCCACGGAGCTGGACTGCGATATTCAAGAGAAACTGGGATCTTTGAGTCCGCCTAACCGTCTCCAGCTAAATTCCCAGCGAAATTGACCGATTTAAAGTCAAACGCGATCATCGTGTCACGTTGTCGGGTTCACGTATAATCTTGTATATATATATATATATATATATATATATATGTGTGTGTGTGTGTGTGTGTGTGTGTGTGTGTGTGTGTGTGTGTGTGTGTGTGTGTGTGTGTGTGTGTGTGTGTGTGTGTGTGTGTGTGTGTGTGTGTGTGTGTGTGTGTGTGTGTGTGTGTGTGTGTGTGTGTGTGTGTGTTTGTGTGTGTGTGTGTGTGTGTGTGTGTGTGTGTGTGTGTGTGTGTGTGTGTGTGTGTGTGTGTGTGGTGTGTGTGTGTGTGTGTGTGTGTGTGTGTGTGTGTGTGTGTGTGTGTGTGTGTGTGTGTGTGTGCACATATTCATATATGGATGCATCGATGTTCTGTAACCAAGTGTGCCATAAAAACAATGCTGTGATTTTGAAGAAAAACAAACAGTAAGTTCATCATATTTGTTGTGGGTTAATAATACATCACAATCGCATCACTAGCATCATAGCCTTTGCTCGTGTTTGTCCTGCAGTCGTCGTTGGTTTAAACGTCTGAGGCGTTCCTGTGTACGTAGTGTCTGGACATCATGCACAAAGCCATCGTGCATTCCTACTTTACAGTAAAACTGCCCTTGCACCAGCCATAAGCACACATGAACATGCATAGCTACAGATGAACTATGTGGGCCGTCTCCTCCACCTCGGCTAAATTTCTGGACGAGCGGCCTGTCCTGCGAGCTCTGCAGCGCTTTGAGGTCTGAGGTCTGCCCTGCTCCGTCTGGACGGCCGGCCCAGACTCGGCCAGGGCTACGTGTGCTTGTCTCCGTGCTCGCGCTGCCTGGCACTGCTGATGGGCCGGTATCTTGGCCACCTGCAGTTGGCCGGCTGCCAGCCACGGGCTAAAAACGGGCCCTCATCACCGAGCTGCATGGCCCGGAGATTAGTGAAACGCCGCCAACTGGCCTTGTGCAATACCAGCGCGTGTCTCACGCGGTCTGTAGCGCGCTGAAATCTGGAGTGTCTCCATAGATTGAGCATCTTATATAATGCTTGCTGTTTAGAGACGAATAGCTAAGCTATGTAAGGGAAAGTAAGCATTTCGCTCACAGATAACAAGCATTATGTGAGATGCTCCATTTATTGAGACACCAGATATTTGCTTGTGATTTTTTACGCATGTTGTTCAGTGAAATTAGCAAGGAGCATAAGTCACACAGATAAGATTGTAGTATTAGCCTTATTCCAGGGAAAACTAGGAGAATGGAGATATAGTTAGGTTGATATTTCGACAACATGCCTTTCTCAAACAATAGCAGAAGTGTCTGTGGCGTTGTCTCTTCTGCTGTTGTTTCGAGAAAGGCATCTGTGCGGTGAGGCCACATTCAACGTTATGCGTACATGATAGTGTTCTGACTAGCTGCACCATAGCCAAAGGAGTCGCGAACTATATCATTGACGTCACTTTTTACAACCAGAACATAACAGCTGGCGTGCGGAGTTGCCACCAAAATGGCTTGAAAGCGGACAGCTTATGACTGAATGATACTTTAACAGCTACTCTAATCAAAAGCAAACATATTGCGATATTATGCCGATACGGCGCGAGAAAAGAATCGTTTTTTGCCCAGCATGTTTGATAATTTCTCTCACTTCAGAGTGATCATTCAATCTTAAGCTGTCAACTCTGAAGCAATTACGGTCGCAACCCCCTCACGCCGGCTGCCAAGTTTGGTTCGCAAAACGTGGACGTCAGCGATGGAATCCGAAACTTCTTTGGTCATGACACAACCACTTCGGAAACTCTATCATGTACGCAGCGTGTTGAATGTGACCTCACCGCACAGATTCTTGACCCCAGTTGGCTCATTCATTTTGGTTAAAAATCACGAGCAGACGTGTTTTGCACTGTGTTTTTGCGGTTTATAGTTAGATAAGGCCACCCATCAGAAATGAATTCACGCAATGATTACTTATCACATCAGATGGGTGGGCGATTTTCACCTGATCTATGCTGTGGCCGAGCCTGGGTGAATTTAATCTCAACTGCAACATTATTTTAAACATGAGCTACCAACGCGGCTGGGCTGGGTATGACAGGTACTTTCTTAAAGCTGATATCTTGGCAGACACTCATCGCTGATTCATGTAGGTTTTGTCAATAATAAGCGCAAAGATTTAGAAGTGCTGCTTGTTTTCTGCAGTGGGATTTAAACATATGTCTCCTCTTTTCAAGTTCCGCAACAGTTTATGTCTGATTTTAGTGTGTCAGTCTCGTCGCTCCATGTTAGATGCTGATGGGCTGGTACAATCTGCAGAATTGTACACGGTCTTCATTACTTAGACTCACACGTGTTACTCCTTGTCGATTCTCAGCCCGCCGGTTCGTCACCGCGTTGGCCAACCACGTAAAATGTGTTCCGAAGCCTCAGGCCGAACATGTGCAATCGCATGCCGGCACGTAATAAGGCTGCGTCACAGAGCACGGAGCTTCCGTTTTCGGACGGGTTTGCATGGGCGAACAACGCCAATGCGGAGTAACGGGAGAGCTACCCTCGGCCAGGTGACCTGCTGAATGAGGATAAAGTGCCGGATTTCTTCACCTAGGTGGCCTGATGAACGAGGATGACGAGCTGGAGTTCCCCTCCCAGATGACCTTATGAACCGGGATGAAATGCTGGAGTTTCTCTCCCAGGTGACCTGATGAACGAGGATGACGTGCTGGAGTTCCTGACCAGTCTGGACGCCATGGAGTTGCCGGATCAGATCGAAGAGGTCAACGCCAAAATCCTCGACAAGATTGTGGAAGAACAGGCCTACGTAGCAGTGTTCTTCTGTGAGTGCCTCTCAGACCAGGACTGCTGTTGCAGTTCTGGACCGTTTAAAATGTGTCGCTGAAAGTGGGTAGCATAGCGTAGTGTTCTGATTCTGTCCTAGGGTTGAAGGCAGTATGGATATGTGCCATACGTTGATATGAAGTGTGAACTAATTACTAAGTAGTTTTATAACAATTGTGTTTATAGCAATGGCGTTCAGCTTGCGGACGGTTCCCTTCTGTGTAATGACAGACTGATTGACAGTGTTGACGTCCCTCATGTTCCCTTCTGTATAATGACAGGTCTGGACGTCCCTCATGCTACCCTGGGCTGCGTTGAACATAACATTTGTGCCGTTTCGGTAATATTGCTGATTATCCTTACTTTGCAAAATACGCAAAGTTGTTCTGCAACGCACGTGCTAGTGGAACATGTAGATGACAGGCCACAATATCATAATTCGCAGTCTGAATTCGAAATGTCCGTGATCATAGTCGTAAATAGAACGCCACCCTTGCTGTGAGGGCTCCTTCCGTTAGTTCGCTCGGTGCTATTGCAGCGCACATGTAGCATAAACGGTGCATGAACGCGAGCAATATCAGCCGCTTTTTCCTGACGCCTTGACATAGCAACGTCCCTCATTTGCACTAAAGGGTCCAGCCAAAGGTCTTGAATCGCCATTTAAATACCCGTGTAACAGCTTGTTATATGAAATAAGTTCTGCTGTGAGTGGGAAAAGACAAACGTCTACATGGATGTGGCAAGAAATGCACGTCTGGCTGGATGCGTTCTACTCTAGCCAGCCTATAGCGCGAATTGCATTAACTGGCGCATCGTCTCGTATATTCTCTATATGGCTCCGCCGTGTCACTCCGATCTTATCGTGGCAGGTCCATCGGTTGAGAGTTGCAGTTTGGTGGAGTGTAAGTAATCCAGCTGCTCAGTAAACGCCCTTCTTTTCAGTTTTTTTATTTCTAGGTGGATGTTTGAGATTCTTCTAGGTCGTTTCCCGCTTTATTTCCGACCTTATAAAGGTGTTTAACAGTCCATCCCTATGCTGTTCTTATATCGCTTATGTCTTCCCAATAAATGACGTTTAAATTGAATAATGCAATTGTGCCATGTCATGCGGTTCTGACCCTCTTCCCGGCATACACGAGTGCCTAGATATGGAGACATTTATCATCTTATCTCTGTGCCTTGCAGTAGTAGCCAAAATCATACGCATCAGATTAACGCCTATATTGTACCCCTCACTGCACGTTCACCCAGCATGATTGTCATTTGCAGTTGCGTGTCTTCAACAGGGTGCCGCTCTTGACCCGTCATTTGGCATGTACAGGAAACATCCCCTCGTGTAAACTATTCGGCGATACATCAGATAGTGCACGGAGTCGTGTTACCTGCAGCCAGCACGCGGCCAAGTGTCATAGCATGTGTGCATTGTATATATCCGCATGGGAATTCATGCGTTGGAATATGCCCAAGCAGCATCTTGTCAACTCTATCTGTGTGTGTTCAGTCATTTGTACCGGTTTTATGGCGACTAGTGGGTTCGTTCTGTCGAGGTATTGTACAATGGGCAAACACTGCCTCAAGGCCCTAGCCGAATTCGTGACAGGCGTCCGTTTTCTATCGATGTTATTGAGCACGTCTTAGGAGCTGATCTGGATTAGATATATCGTACGATACCGTAAAAATGTAAAGTAATATGTTCCGGTTTTGGATACATAATTCATATAGCTGAACGCCACTAATCAATGCAGTGTTTGCTATGTTTTAGTCAAGCTAACTTTTCTCTTGAAAACTCAAGGCGTACGATGAGTGATTTGCATGTGATGAACAAGTAAGCATAGATCTTATTTTATATTTTCAGAAGCTGACAAGATAGAAGTAATAGCCTTATTCCTCGCAGAAAAAAAACAGAGATGGGCTGAACAATTGAGATATAGGTGGGTTGATATTTCGGCAACATACCTTCATCGAAACAATAGCAGAACTTTCGATAAAGGCATGTTGCCGAAATATTAACCCATCTACATCTCCATTGTCCTTGTTTTCTCCGAGGAATAAGGCTATTGATACGGTCTTATCTATATGAATAATGTTCCTCGCAAATTCACTGAGCAACTTAAGTAATTCTCAGAGGCTGATCTGTCTTCAAGAAATTATCTCCACCCTGTGGGACTTATTTCTCGGTTTGTGCCTTTTATCCCACATATGCGCCCGTTTTCTGTTTTACAAGTCCTACTCAACTCGCTAGACATTGTGGCCGTTTTAGTGACTTATATGACTTCATTGGTGTCATCACCTGACTCACAATAGGCCTGAGTCTTGTGACTGCCTATCGCAACGTCTCGACAGTGGGTCAGGGGTTCCTCCCGCCCACTCCACGCGCCGCGGCCGGCGCCCACTGTCAGGCTTTCTCGTCCGTCACCGCTTTTAGGCGACTGACTCCGGATGGTCTGTGTTGCGCCTTATTTATAACCTGCTCACGAACAGACCGGAGTCTCGGACGCCTCCGGAGCGACGGTGTGCTGACTGTGCTCCTGACTGTGTCCCTGCCGTCCGCTCGTCTTTGGGCACACATTAGAGTCGTGCCCAGCTGAGGAATGTGACAGCGGTCCTGATAAATGTCCTGGACAAGTTAGAAAACTGCAAAACCAGCCGCGCTTGTGTGCCGTGCACTGATTGGGTTATTGAGAGAGGCCTGCTCATAGCATGCAGTAGCAATGAAGCGATGCACCGCCACAGTAGGCAAACGGCTTTACACCGTTTGCGGAGAGGGGGCGGCGGAGAGCTATGTGGGACTCACACGTAGGTGTATATACAACTTCCACATGACAGGGAGACAAAACCATAAACAGACGCCGAGGCGCTGGAACAAGCAGCCAGGCAAGCGGCCCCATAACGCGGAAACGAGGTTGTACAACGGCTTGTAAAGGAAACCGCATAGTGGGTGATTCTATGACGCGCCACTGAAGCGGCGGATGGGAAGGCGCACAGCGTGGGCAAGTCAAGCAGCGGCTTTGAGCGGACAGCTGGCGGATCTCGCATCCATGGCTCGGTGGGAGCCGACAGGTGCGCGCTGAGACCACGGACGGGGCCGAGCCGGGTCAGGGCGGGGCGGGGCGGGGAGCGTCGAGACTCGCGCGCTGCCGGCGGGCGGAGTCCACGGCTGGGCTCCCAGCCGCCGCCGGCTTGACTCGCGGCCAGGACGTCGAAATGCCGGCAGCTATTCTTAAAATGCGGCTGGCCACGCCGCCGTTGGCGACGTGGCGGTCGCCGATTCGCCGGGCGCGCGTCGGCCGTCGCAGGCCGTCGTGCTGCCGCCGCCGCCTCCTCCGCCCGGCCGGAATGCTCGCCGGCGGCGACCCGGCACGGCCTGGGCCGGCCGTCGGCCGCCGGTGGCTATAGATGGCCCGTAGGAGGCGGTGCGGACACCGACGGCGATTCTGGCGCGCAGCCGCGCGTGCGCACCGCGCCGCCGCCGGGACTATGCGGAACGCTGCGGTGCGTTTGGCACCTCAAGCGCGCCTCCCTTTGCGTGCGTCGGTCTCGACGGCCGTTAATAGTTGTTAGTGCGTCGGCTTCGCACTGACTGGTTGTCTGAGAACGTGGGCGGTGACGGCAGGCTTATTCGGGCCCGGGGAATGAATGACCTTTGCCGCGTCACCAGCCGTATGTACGCTCAGATCTCGTCTACCGCTGCCAGCCGAACAATGCAAAGAGAATCAGATGCCAAAACGCATTTCTGGGAGCGTGCTGAAGATACCCGCCGTATGTAGGCAGCAGATATGTTGATGCTCTTTGCGCCTGCACAGCGGTCGGTGCGGTTTAAGATCACAAACAGCCTGAGCTTCGTCCTACTATAAAAATGTCGCCCTCCAGGCTGGCCTGGATGTTCCCCACACTGGTGGAGAATTCGGCCTCTCACGGCCATACGCAATTGCCGCTGCATCCCTGACTTGGCGCCACTGCCGTAACCTCCCTGCCCTTGGGTCGGGGCCGGTCGCGTTGCAGACAAGTCTAGCTGTCGCAAATGTGAGCGCGCTCTCAAGGAGCTGGAGAACATCGACGACGAGGCGGACCAGCTCGGCATCGCCTTCGTCAAGATCAACGACGAGGCGCTGGCCGACGAGTACTCGCTGGACACGCTGCCCACGCTCGTCTACTACCGCAACCGCATCCCCATCGTATACGACGGTGAGTCGACGGTGCTGATGGTGCTGATCCGATAGAGGAAGATCGAGATAGCGCGTAAATTGGAGCCGGCTATTTGCGCCGTGTTTTGGTAAACGCACTACGTTGACATTTCGCGCTATTTCGGAAGCATATTGAGCACGGTTTATCTCTGCCTAGGACGGTATTGCTGTTTGTTTATGACCCATGCAACTGCTCAGGCATTTAGTGTCGCCATCCCCCACGTCCCAATCGCACTCTGACGGCGGGCAGCAGGTCTTAGTGTCGCCATCCCCCACGTCCCAATCGCACTCTGACGGCGGGCAGCAGGTCTTAGTGTCGCCATCCCCCACGTCCCAATCGCACTCTGACGGCGGGCAGCAGGTCTTAGTGTCGCCATCCCCCACGTCCCAATCGCACTCTGACGGCGGGCAGCAGGTCTTAGTGTCGCCATCCCCCACGTCCCAATCGCACTCTGACGGCGGGCAGCAGGTCTTAGTGTCGCCATCCCCCACGTCCCAATCGCACTCTGACGGCGGGCAGCAGGTCTTAGTGTCGCCATCCCCCCCCCAATCGCACTCTGACGGCGGGCAGCAGGTCTTAGTGTCGCCATCCCCCACGTCCCAATCGCACTCTGACGGCAGGCAGCAGGTCTTAGTGTCGCCATCCCCCACGTCCCAATCGCACTCTGACGGCAGGCAGCAGGTCTTAGTGTCGCCATCCCCCACGTCCCAATCGCACTCTGACGGCAGGCAGCAGGTCTTAGTGTCGCCATCCCCCACGTCCCAATCGCACTCTGACGGCAGGCAGCAGGTCTTAGTGTCGCCATCCCCCACGTCGCAATCGCACTCTGACGGCAGGCAGCAGGTCTTAAGCCGATGCCCTCGTGCTGGAAAGTGAAGTACTCTGACACTGAAACACCCAACGCTCTCTACGCACCTAGTAATCGAAACATTCTCTTTGGTCTGTCGTAATGCGCTTTACACAAAGACTCCATTATTTTATTTTCCTTCGGCATGACATTGCATGTCCGTTCGTAGACCTATTCATACAAAGCCTATGAGAAAATGCTAGTTTTTGCCTATGGCTATGGCTATGGCTATGGTTATGAGGAGAAAGCCCCCGCAGAAGAGTTGCGCAACGCATTCTTTCCATATCGCGGAGTACATAAGTAAAAACCAAAGTAATCTCTCTCGGCCTTACCACCCGGACTTGAGTATTCGAATCGGCCGACTTGTTTTCCTTGCGTGCACAGGTGACCTCACGAAGGAGGAGGACGTGTTGGATTGGCTGGTGCAGAACAAGTCGACCGGCGACGACGACGACGAGATCGAGGACGTCACCGAGACGATGCTGGAAGCCATGATCGACTCTGTCGACTACCTGGCTGTCTTGTTCTGTGAGTCAGCCATGCTACGCTGATTAGATGGAAGCGGCTTCATTCCGTGGTGGAAACAGTCATGCTACGGGCATTGCTCAAAATATATATATATATATATATATATATATATATACTTGTATGTACAGTTTTCTAGTGCGCCGCGTCGGTGTCAGCGTCAGCTCATCCAAGATCGCATTGCGCTGAGTTCCCCACACCGACATAACTTTATCGTTACTTGGCGTCGGGGACTTGGTCTGTAATGGGTGAAAGATGCCTCGGTGTTGAAAAAGGCCCTGTTTTCCGAGTCACGCCCCAAAGCGTGATCCTTTGCTCCGCCGATGACCTTGAGGCTGGCATCGGGTCCCCCAACGACAGCCGTTCTCTCAGCCAAATTCCGGCCGTTCGCACATTTCAAACGTCTCACCCATGCCCGTCAGTGCCGGCGCCGCCAGTGCTCGTGTTCACGTTCTCCGTCGATTTGCTCTGCTGCTCTGACGACCAGCATCCAGACGTGTTCTGTTGATCCTCGCGCTTCCCTCGCTGCGTCACCCTCCGGACGGACCGGCTTTGTTCTGCTGCTCTGATCGCCGGCACCCAGATCTGTCTTGTCGATCCTCGCGCTTCCCTCGCTGCGTCACCCTCGGGACGGACCGGCTCCGAGAGCTGCAGTCCGTCATCAATCAGCCGGACAGACGTCCGGCAGGCGCTGAGCTGTCAGGCTGACATCCGACGGCAGGTGCGCAGATATGTCAGCCTGACAGCCTGTCGGCAACATGGTGAAGTCAGCCTGGCCGTCGTTGGGTTGAGGTTGAGCTGCCTGGTTTTCAGCCTGTTAGCAGGCGTAAAGCTGCCAGGTTTACTTCGGGTATTTCGCTGTGAATCTGACAGACCGTCGACGAGAACTCAGTTGTCGGCGCATGCGCCGTGTGAATCGCGCGACACACACACACACACACACACACACACACACACACACACACACACACACACACACACACACACACACACACACACACACACACACACACACACACACACACACACACACACACACACACACACATACATATATATATATATATATATATATATATATATATATATATATATATATATATATACTGATGGGCGTGAGAAACGTTTGAAGGGAATACAGTAAAGGAAATCCAAACAGAGCACAAATCGTGGATGACGTAATCCGTAAAAAGGTCTGTGAGAACGGGGAGCTGGCCAAACACGAGATGCGCATTTACTTGTGTGAACGGTGGAGTTATCGACAGAGCAACCATCAGTGGTCACAATTATTCCACTCGGTACGGGCTAAGTATAGCACACACGGCAGTCTGCTTTCGCTTTAACACAAACGCTCAAAATGCTACTCCAGCTCCACACGCAGTTTAGCTTCGCTCCAGGTGTCTGAGCCCGGTGATGTGACGCATATCTTGTCTCTTTGTTTAACTGAGAACTGTAGGAAGGTCACTTGAGATATCAAACTTGGAAACCATTTTTGCAAACAAAGTCCCAGTTTTGCCTCCCTGGATGATGCACACCTTTCTATTTGTGTGTCTGCAGTCACAGTGGGCTTCGTTGTCGGATGTTCCCGTCGAGCTGTAAACATGACGGTGTCGTCTGGCGTTATACCCGGATTGGAGCTGCCCCGTTGCATCCAGTCATAAACAATGGAGCCGATGATGACCCACGCCGGCATACAGCGGCAAGAGAATATGTATGCTTTGTTCAGTACGCTTCTTTCTAGAATTGTCACGTAGTGCCGGGGCGGCAATGCTTCACTTTCATCGCATTTAGGTTTGGATATGACGTCTGCTGATGACGCACATTCCTGTTGTAGATCAGGAGGACGACGAAGACAGCAAAGCGGCTCTGAATGAGCTGGAGAACATTGATGATGAGTGCGACACCAGGGGCATCCACTTCGTCAAGACGGATGACGAAGACGCTGCCAAGGCGTACGGCATTGAGGAGTTCCCTACACTGGTCTACTTTGAAAATGAAATACCGAATGTATACGATGGTAAGTAAATTATTCACTTGTGGATAGTCACTGGGCAAGCAAATGGCGTTCAGAAAGAATTTTATGCTCTCCCGTTAAAATGTACGTTTGTTAGTCATCCGCCGTTAACTCCCTGATCATACGTGTAACTCAAGAACCGTCGTCTCTCCTGTTCAGGCGACCTCCAGAACGAAGACGAGGTGCTGGACTGGCTGGTTCACCAGCTAGAGTCGGATGAGATCGAGGACATCACAGACGAGATGCTGGATAAGCTCATCAAGGAAGAGCGACACGTTGCTGTCCTCTTTTGTAAGATGCCGATAGGATCGTACGCATCTGTAATGGAGTTGTAGGCATATTGACACTTGACAACCTTCTTCTGAATGGAAATAGCAAGATCATGCATCCTTTTCTCTCAGAGGCCTCCAACACGTGTATTGGGCATTTGGAGTTTTGTTTGAAGTTTACTAGCCAGTTTACTAGCCATCATATACATGCATAACTTTCCGTGAGGGGAACATAGTTGATGTCAGCACTTTCACGAAAGGTGTGACTCATTGTGATAAAGTGCAGTTTCGGAGTCGTGCCCAGCTGTGAGAGCTTGTGTTTTACCTGCGCCGCGATGTCTGCCAGATGACGAGAACGACAAAAAGTCTACGCGCGTTCTGGCCGAGTTGGAGAACATTGACGACGAGTGCGACAAAAACAAGATCGTATTTGTCAAGATCGACAGCGACGAGGAGGCCAAGGAGTATGGCATCGAGGACACACCAACACTGGTCTACTTTGAGGACGGCGTGCCAAGCGTATACGACGGTGAGTAGCCCTCTGGACCGCCGGGCCAGCGTGCCCTTGGTTTTGGTGGAGCGTACGCTAGCGTGCGTGGAGTGATAGCTAGCGACGCGTAGGCGGAGCTTTGGAAAAGCTGTTCCCAATCATGAATGCAGGCTTCAAATGGCCGACGCGCGTAAGAGGATGAGCGTGTTTCTTTCTACGGGCGCAAGGACTCGGTGGATGAGCTTCTTTGCTCGACAGATTGATGTATTTAACAGCACGGCTGATATGAAAGCTTATGACAGCTTCGTTTCCACGTGTGTTGACTCGTGCTTACAGTGTAGACACTGCTTCCGTACTCTGGTGTTATCATGGCGTTTGTTCCTAGATGATTCGGAGTATTGCTGCCACAGCGCATCCAGCAACAGGTTCATGTGGTATGAAGCCACTCATTCACATACTTGTGTTAGAAACTGCAAGATACACCACCCGTTTTGACCACATGAGCCGCGATCATGAGACCTCCATTGCCTCTAGGTGACCTGATGAAGGAGGAGGAAGTGCTCACCTGGTTGCTGGACCAAGTGGAGAATGAAATGATCGAGGATGTGACGGACGAGATGCTGGACAAGCTGATCGACGGCACTGGCCATCTGGCAGCGCTCTTCTGTACGTGCCCTCTCTTCACACAATGTTATTCTGTATGGCCTCATCCGCCTGTCTCTGTTCTGTATGAACTCCTTCGTCCGCCTCTCTTCCGTATAGACTCCTCCGTTCGTCTCTGTTCTGTATGAACTCCTTCATCCGCCTCTCTTCTGTATGAGCCCCTCCGTCCGTCTCTGTTCTGTATGGATTCCTCCGTTCGTCTCTATTCTGTATGGACTCTTTCGTCCGTCTTTGTTCTGTGCGGACTCCTCCGTCAGGCCCTGCTCTGTATGGACTCCTCCGTTCGTCTCTCCTCTGTACGGATTCCTTCGCCCGTCTCTGTCCTGTATGGACTCCTTCGTTGGTGTCTGCTCTGTCTGTACTCTTTCGCCCGTCTCTGTTCTGTATGGACTCTTCTGACTGTCTCTGTTCTGTACAGACTCCTTCTCTCGCCTCTGTTCTGGATGGATTCTTCTGTTTGTCGCTGTACTGAACGAGCTACTGAACCGATTTAGCCGAGAAGCACTTGCATTACAACTCATCCAGAAGTCGCTAGTCCCCTTCTCTCAACTCATCCAGGGGTCGCTAGTCCGCTTCTTTTGGAGATTGCTCAGCCACGTCAGCGATCACAAAAAATCGCTTCCTCAGGTGACGAAAAATGAGCTGTGAAGGTATGAGGTGACATTACGTCTCAAGCCTGAGTGAATCAAACTGTCGGATCTGACTGACTGACTGACTGACACATTCTGCATTCACTGAAAACGCTCCAAGGTGATGCGCGGCTCTGCGGTTCTCATAACGCCGATCTAAATCAGACCATATTATTTTAGTTGCATAAGGGTTTTCCGGAAAAACTCTAGGGTTTGTACCCTCAACGACATCAACAATGGTCCCGTGATTCTCAGGTCTCTTGGCCTCAGACAGTGATCATTATATCTCAGTCAAGTTCTAGTCCCAAACAAATACTGCTGAAAAAATTGGAGCAGTGCACGTGGTATCCTGTCGAAATTTATTTTCCTATAGATCACATCGAATATTTCCTCCAAGCAGCAGAACGTTCTGGCTGCAACTAGTAGCCTTTCAGCCCCAACCCCATCAACCCCTCTTGCACCTCAAAGGGAAATATGCATCGTTGCAGGGCAAGACAGAAGAGCAAACTTCCAGCTCAGTCTGGACGAGCCACTGACCTGACGTTTAAAGATGAAACGGGATTTATAGTGGCTGCACTGTTCCTGCTTTGCTCGACACCTGGTTGTTTCCCCACCGAACCTGTGCAGGGCTGCACGAGAAGCGAGGTCAACACTGAAAATGACCTCACCGAGTACACGTTTATGTTATGTGATGTCAGCACGCAACGACGTACCATTCTCTGCATGTGTAGAGAGCGCCCATGCGGCTTTTGTGCCACGGCGATGCACGTCGATGCACACCTTATGGTGAATGCTGCCTCTGTATGTTGGTCGTTGGATATACGCATTCTCTCCCGCAACGACAGCGATTTGAGTGTGAGATATCGCGCGGGATACGTGGCCTTCGTGCGTAAAACGTAGTGATACTAGTCAGTTCTTCCACCAGCCCAGGCCAAAGCCGTCCGTATCTCTCCGTTCCCATCTGACTGTTCCCGAGTGACATGTCAGGTGGTCAATGGAATAGGCGTGGGAGATGACCTTAGTCGTCAGGTGGCTCTGCACGGTGGCGGTGAGGCATTAAGTGGCTCGCCTTCGTGAAGTACGAGACGAAAGCTAAATCAGATCATTCGTGCCCCCAAAAACGGACGGCGTTTTGGGCCGCACGACGATTGATGTTCTCGTGCAGCGTACCTCAGCTTTAGTGCATGAACAACTGTCTTTGTTAGGTACGGGACGTCAATTGCAACCGTGCCCCATAAGCCCAGACCTTAGCTGTGGTTTCCCTGGCAACCTTACCTCCGCCAATGAACTGTGCGGCGCTGATAGGGAGGTCCTTCCTGATCATGGCATGCTGGTCGCCCCTTTTTTTTTTAGGGGCCAGCTTTTGGCCCATGGCCCTTTAGGGGCCATGGGTCATTTTACGAGTGGTGGTCGGTGTTTACGCCAGGAAATATGCAACAAGTGCGTGGGTTCAAAAAGCCTCTCGAAAGCAAGAAATCGCTGCGTTTTTCATGTTTTCATCATCCACTCTCAACAAGGCCTGTATTCGTAAACGTATTATATACCACTCGTTTAAAGCTCAATATGTCGCAAAAACGTGCACATCTGTAAAATAGGACTGCCAAAAACATCACTTGTGGTGAAGCGCAGACGATTCCTATCTACCTGGACGAGATATGCCTCACCCACTCCACCGGTACCCGGGATTTTCTCCACTGGCAGATTTACGTGGGTGTGAGGTGTGCGTATTTGCGTGCGTTTTGTGTGTAAGCATTTCCTTGTGTCGTGTTTGCCTGCGTTCACGTGTTAAGTTGAAGATGTGTGCGTGAATGTTGCACTGCGTGATGTTTGTGCGCGTGCGTGACACCCTGTGTGCTGTGTCTGTGCGTAAGTCGCTGCATGTGTGTGTGATCGTCCCGAGCGGCCGTGGGAGCTCGTGCGGCAGGATGCAGTGTCACGTGTAGTTGGTGCACTTGTAGTCGCCGTCGCCGTACTGAGAAAGCCATCACGTTTCGTCTGTTTCCAGCTGAGCACGACGACGTTACCGTCCTGTTTTGTGAGTATTTGACGCGGTGTTCCTGTCCCCCTAGAGACAGGCTCGCTTACACAGCTCCTCTGAACCCCACAAACGCGAACAGGACGGCAGAGTGCAGACACCTGACCCCACGCCGTAGACCGCAGCAGCAGTGGTTGTGCGCATGCGCCAACATGAGTCGTAGCTGCGAAATCAGTCGAAAGTTTCCCTTGGGTGGAGCCGCTTTTTCGCATGCCCAATTCGACATTCTTCCGAACATGTTTTGGGTGTCTTTCATCGAAATCCCGCATGTAAGAAAATACAAAGGGTTTGCCCTTTGTTTTTATGTATATAGTCCCACAACTGAAATTCACATTAGTTCAAGCAAAACAAAATAGCTTCAGATAAACGATTTTCTGAAATCCCTTTATTCCTTTCCATGTGCTCATCATATGAGCTCCACGTTTTGTGAGTCAAACATACAATGCACGACGATCCCACAACGACGCTCCCAGGGTGGGGTGGGCTGCGCGGTCTGCCTGTCAGTCATTTCCGGCCGCCTACGCAGGCATGCCTGCAAATGACACCATCTGTATCACCCGTCACGGCGCATGACACTTCGCACGTCTCCGACTCTTGCCGCTCACACCGCTTCGGTCGGCGCTGTCCTCTAGACGACAAGGGCCAGAAGAAGTCGCAGAAGGTGCTGCAGGAGCTGGAGAACATTGACGACGAGTGCGACGAGCACGGCATCGTCTTCGTCAAGATCGACAACACGGAAGAGGCGACCGAGTACGGCATCGAGCAGCTGCCTAAGCTCGTCTACTTTGAGAACGAGATTCCCAGTCTGTATGACGGTGAGCGGGTTAGGCCTGACGGGCCTGTAGTCTGTATGACGGTCAGCGGGTTAAGCCTGACGGGCCTGTAGCCTGTATGACGGTGAGCAGGTTAAGCCTGACGGGCGGGGTCGCAGCTCGTATCATGCCCCGTGTCAGGGAAATGACGCGTTACTGTAGTCTGCTGGCATTGGAACTCTCCCTCTTAAGGAACTGGAAGGCATCAGCATATAACGCTACGTTTGCGAGTCTCTGAGGAAGGCATCCTTCGGGTATGATTTAGTATTAAAAAAAGGTAGGTCGAAGTCGTGAATGACCGGAGTAAACCCGGGGTACAATGACACAAGGAACGTGCCACGGTGTTATGACATGTCGCGGTGACACTTGTGTCGCAATGCTATATCTTGTCAAGTCGATTGTATGATTTCCGGACAAATAGCCGAAATGCATCTAGCCGAATGTCTATTTGCCGAATGCATTTGGCCATATCCTGTTTTGTCGACATGTCTTTTGCCACCGTGTCAATAAGGGGATATATTAAAATTGACGAGCAATTTCCTCACGTCTTTTTGCCCATGTGTCACCTTGGCGAAATGTTAATAAGTCGCAATGCAAATTGGTCGAAATGCTTTTTAATCAAGTGCTAATTGCCGCGGCATTCTTGAGTCGACTTACATTTTCCAAAATGTTATTTTTATATGAACCAGGCAAAGTATGCTGGAATCGAACTATAATTACCTAAACTAAATTAAAAAGTACTGAAAAAATTGGTACCCAACTAAAGGATTAGTCGAATATTAATCTGCCGGGATGTCCAGCTGAGATGCGGGCTCAGTGCCAATCAACCAAATGTTCTTTCGTTGAATTCTTTGGCATCAAAATTTTGTTCATAGTTTTTAGACAATCGCCATTCAACCCTCGCTCTACGGGCGTTTTCTGCGCTGAACTCACGATGGGAGGCCCTAACTTTCGCCCCTAAAGTGGGTCGATGCGCTTCCCCCCCTGCCTTAACGTTTTCTGAGAATACCTTTCTGGCATGTCGTACACTCGCGCTCAAATTTTCGGAAGCCTATGAGGTATCTATTGCGTGTGTTTCGAAACCGAAGGTGTGTCCATAACTCTGTTGGTTTCTGCGTAGCGGCGGTTTTTCAGGAGCACTGCGTGACGTTCTACTGCCTGCGCGGGCGACGGGCGGCAGCCGACGATCTTCGTACTGTGCGCGGCCGGCTGACGCTGCTATATTAACGCAGCCATGTATTATATATGAATGCCCAGAACACATGGAATTAGACAACATTGTATGTAAAATTCAACATCACCTGTTCACGCTTCGTGTCGCTGCAAGGCAAGGATGTACAAGGTCGCAACGGTCTTGTACAGATGTGCATAAGAAAGTTTGACAAAGCATGTAAATGTTCGACTTCCAGCAAATTTTGACATGTTTCCCTGGCTAAATGAGCTCAATCATTGGCATGAAAGCATAAAACCTATTAACAACGGCGAGGTCTTGCTGGAAGCAGTCCACCGTTTTTCCGCTAGTTTCTATCTTTGTTAGTTTGGAAACTTCACGGGGCGCATCGACCCATCATCAGCAGGCGTTATGAAAAACGTCGAATCAGGGCGAGGTTTGAGGTCTCGGAAAGCAAGCAATCTTAAGCGATGAGAAAACAACATTTAGAATCTTTTGTCAAACTATATGATATAGATTTCACTGAACGATGGTAAATGTGACTTTTGGCATGTCAAATCGGGTATATCCGCCTGTTGTCGCAAGAACTAAGCTTGCCGCGACAATACGGAAAGCGGAGCTGAGTAATTAATAAAAACTGTATGGGATGGGCATGACGGGATATCGACAGATTTGACCTGTAATGTGCCATCTCAGGCCAAAGGGTTGAAGGCAGTTGTTCCATCGGCCCGCCCAGCTATGTTAAAAACTAACTAAAGGCCAAACGAAACCAAGTGCATTATGTCTTTAGCAATATAGGCTGCGTGCCACTAAACTCCTTCGTAGTAAATTCCAGTGACTAGTTACCCATACGGTGATGTTACGTTCGTATACTTGTCATCAATCACAGTAAAATTTCAGAAAACAGCTTTAGGTTGATTGGTCATTTGATGATTTTCCTTCCGTCTCATTCGTATAAATCCCATTTCGGCATACGGGCATTCGGCTAATTAGCATCCCGACTGATAAAACCTCGCCCATTTAGAATTTCGACCTATTGCATTCAACAATTTGCATGTCGTCAAAAAGAATCCTTGTCATAATCTTTGTCTCCATTTGGCCGTTCGCCTTTTTAACGTGGCAGAAAACCACGGCGGCAAAAACATATTCTCGTTTTCCTTCTTCGGTGAAAAAAACATTCGGTTAAGCGCCATTGGGCATCTGTCCTGGAACCAACTTGTACTGAACAGTGGATGAAAAATCCACAAATTCTGTTTCTAGAACTGCCTCAGACACTTTCCACTCTCAACCCCCTCCCCCTCCCGCCCGCTCATCAAGACATTTACCCGTGTGACCTTCAGGTGACCTGATGAACGAGGAGGAGGTGCTCGCCTGGCTTGTCCACCAGGTTAACTCGGACGAGATCGAGGACATCACAGACGAGATGCTCGACAAGATCATCGAGCGGAACCCCTATGTGGCAGCCGTTTTCTGTAAGTATGATCAATCCTGTCGATGATCCTCCAGGAGAAGGCAGTTTTGCAGCGGTTCATTTTGCGCAGCTTAAAGCACATTTAGGCATCGAGTGCATACCATTGTATTGGCTTCAGACAATTGCATATTTATATTTTTGTGTGAACACTGGACATACATTGTGAACACAGTCATGCATCCAGTGGTGTCATGCAATTTCGTAAGTTGAACTTTGGAACTGACGCTGTAGACAGATGGTAAAACAGTTAATTAACACCCTGCGTTTCGGGCACAGCGACCGCTGCGCCTGCTACGGTTGATTTGTGCCCACGGGAGTAGCTCGAAATTCCCTGACCTCTGATGTCCCTGAACAAGTATGGAAAAAGAGCACTGAATGCAATCGTTGCCGAACATTTGCAAGGATCTCATAACTTGGTCCCTTCTTCTATATCCAGGATCTTTTGGATCCCAGAATAATATCGAAATTTTGCCCCGAAGGGTTTTTGTTGGGACTGGCAACATTTTAGATGCATGAGGTAATCATGCGGGAGTCAATAGTTTTTCCGGGGTTTTGTCAAAGGAGTTTTCAAGATACAAATTGCATTTCTCTTTCACTTGGCCTTCCAGTTCCAGGATTCATTTTAGCAGAATGTCTGTTAAATTTTCAATGGACAAAAATGACGTCCCAATGTCAGAGAGGCTGCTCAAGCTGGTATCTCCTCCTGTCCTGGCATAAAGCTATCAAAGTCTGACGCTAATTTTCACTCCCGTTAAAATATTCCTATCCCAGCCTAACATCACAACGCATGGTGCTGCAAGCAGCCCGAAATGAGACGAATTGTTATCAGATTTAGAACAGGTTTAAAATTCCTTATATCGGAAAATTATATGGACTAAATGATTTGCATTCATCCTCCATGGTTCAAGTTATGTTCTTAAGTCCTGGTGCCATATTTTAAGGCTCTTATGTAAACCACGATATTTTATCACGGGCGTATGCGGTACCTCACTATAGCGGGGGGGGGGGGGGGGGTACAACTACAAATGTGTCACTGGCAGTAAGGTTGAGTGCGCCGCAGAAGCGCGCATGTTCTTACGTGTCGTAAGTTAACATCGCATGTTTTCGACCATTTGATTGTTACTTGTATACCTCAACTTTTTCAATGCCAGCATTTTGGCACGTGTATATTACGCCTACATATGCATTAAAGGGCACTTAAATGCTAGACATGCCTTACTTTGCACAAGCACTACCATATTCCATACACCTTACAGCAGTTTGGTAAGGGTGGGGTGGGGCACGCAGTCCGCGTGGCTGTCATGCCGTACCGGCCTGTTTTCTGTAGTTTGACCGAGGGCTCCCTAGGACCCAAGCTGCTTTATTAAACTCTACCGAATGATCCGTGATCCGTTTTGAATGAAATGAGATCTGTGATCCATTTTGATATTTCAGGACAGCCCACTAAATCCGCTTCCAGTTTGTTTAAGCTCCGCTGAATCACGTTTCATTTGTGGGATCCACGAATGTATCTGATGGAGACTGTGAAGGGTAGTTTCGGAGGAAAGCAATGTGCTGGAACCCGGCAAGACAAGGCAGCCTTTCGGCACTGAATCGGAACCCTCCCCCCCTGTCATGAACTTTTGAGGTACGCCTCCTGAAGAGGAAAGCAACGCGAACATTTCCAGGCTCGCTGTCCTGAACCATGACATTATCACATTGTGGTCGCTGCTCTCTCAATGTTTTTGTATCGTATTCGGTGCAATCCTTCCTGACACAATTCATACTGAGTGACTAATTCTCTCGTTTTCGCCTCTCGTTTTCAGCTGGTAAGTTTTTGGTGGTCGTGAGTACATTGTTTGGCCCCGCCTTCTCCCACCTCCCACCCCTGCTCTCTTCTACTCTGCCCTTTCATTCCCAACTGAGCCCCTTATTTCTCACTACTACACGCATGCTCCACAATGCTCAGGCATGAGCTGATGAGTACCCATGTTCCACAATGCTCAGGCATGAGCTGATGAGTACTCATGTTCTACAATGCTCAGGCATGAGCTGATGAGTACCCATGTTCCACAATGCTCAGACATGAGCTGATGAGCACTCATCGCCAGATCTAGCGCGCCTATGAAAACATAGACCGAGGCTTCTTGCGATGAGTCATGTGCTTTGCTATCCCTGCCATCCATAAAGGCTTCAGTCCTGAGTCGTCTTTGCTCCTCAGGCCAGATCGCTTTTGCTCTTCGTTTGGTCCCAGCTCTGCATTTTTAGCCCACAAAATCTGGCCGGAGCGTTGTTGCCGATGGTCTCTTGATGGGACGCGATGATGGCATATCCGGTAAATGTGGCCATGAACTCAGCTTCTTTTCTCTGGCAGCCGCACAGCAAACGACATGAAAGCCCGATAGCTATGATATGTTTGAAATGATTTCGGATTCCAAAACCAGCCAGGTGTGGCAGCCACTCGTCAAAAAATTGTCTGTCCAAATTGTTTCATTCACGTCACAAATCGCTACAAACAAACACCGCCACCCCATTGTTGAGCTGAGTCCTCCAATATGACGTCCACTCCAATGCTAAACGCGTCGGAGGGGCCAGGATTTCTCCACGGCCCCTCTCCCTGCCAAATGTGGATTTCGCTTGGATGTGTTGTTAAATGAAATTAAATGTTCGGCGATTAAAAGGCATGTTTAGAATGCCTGAGACAAGCTCATGTCGCATTGAATTGTTTCATTAAGCCCACGATTAATGTCATTCGTCCCTGCCCTCAAACTTGAGTTCAATGTGTCGTTAATCTTTCGGGTTGATAACGCGTACATAAGTTAACTGTAAGGTGTGGTGGGCACGTCAATTGTAATACCCACCTTTTTGCATCAGTGCCAACTACAGTTGATGTTCGGTGTTCATCCAAACCATACTGTTACGCCATAACCACTTTTTATTCATTAAGAATACAAGGGATTTTACCCTTACACTACTGAGAGGAGCGTAATGCGCCGTTCGTAACTGTAATGCAAACTTACCGGGAACTCTTCAGACGACAAAGATGACAAGCAGGACCTGAAGACGCTTGTCGAGCTGGAAAACATTGACGACGAGTGCGATAAACATGGCATCGTCTTCGTCAAGATCGACAATGACGAGGAAGCCAAGGAATATGGCATTGAGGAGATGCCCAAGCTTGTGTACTTCGAGAACCAGATTCCCAGCGTCTACGAAGGTAACTGTGCCCCTTCACTTTCATGTAATACCCCAAACACAGCATGTAAATGTTTGGTGGTGCTTTGTCCATCTCTCTCGGTTGGCGCCAGCAACGTCATGGATTTTGACATGCGTGACATGGCACATAATACAATCACGAATAATTGTCGTATGTTTGCATCACTTGTAGTCACTGATCAAAATAAACTGAAAAGCAATGACAATAGATGTAGCGGTAAATGTATACTATTGGTCGTTGTTTGAGTAAACTCCTGCAAAAACTGTCAGTGTGAAGGCTGGAGTGGGCTGCAGATGTTTCAGGACAGGCATTTGCCAAGCGAGGTCAAATGCCGATGAAATATGAATACTTGCCCACATAAAAGATGCTTCACAACTCACACATATATATATATATATATATATATATATATATATATAGATATAGAGAGAGAGAGAGATATATATATATATATATATATATATATATATATATATAGATATAGATATATATAGATATATATAGATATAGATATAGATATATATATATATATATATATATATATATATATATATATATATATATACATATACATAAATGGTTTGACTGGAGCGTGTCACTCTCCTCAGGCGACCTCAGCGACGAAGAGAAGGTTCTGGAATGGCTAATCCACCAGAAGGAGTCGTCCACAATTGAAGAGGTCACGGACGAGATTCTGGATGACCTGGTTAAGGACCACGGCTATGTTGCCGTGTATTTCAGTACGTAACCCGTAACCCGTAACCCGTGTTCTGCACCCAGACAATTCAGGGGCTATCTTTAAGTACTAGAAAGCACCTGCTCTAAAAAAATTGTTGTCTTTGTTTTGACCTGGTTCACCATGAAACTTACAAGGCAAACAGTCTCCAAGACTTCTGCCCTAAACGTAGGTTCGTTTTCAACACTTAGATTAACGCAGACACATAATCTGAACTGTGATTGACACGCATATAGCAGCAGACATAAGAGACCATTCCTTGCGCTCGATCTAATGCACTCCTTGACCCAGAAACGCATTTAGAAAACAACAGCACATGTCCCCTGAACGCAAAACAAGAGCACGCGGATACATACCGTCGCAGTTCCGAATCTCACCGGGCGTCCACTGCCGTGCCCAGGCGGTCCGTGCAAAGAGGGGGACCAGTGTAGCAGGCTGCTCGACGAGCTGGAGAACATCGACGATGAGACGGACGACCACGGCATCGTGTTCGTCACCACCGAGGAGACCGACTTCGCCAAGCAGTCGGCCGGCATCAAGAAGTTCCCGGCGCTTGTGCTGTACAAAAATGGCCAGCCGCTGGCCTACCCCGGTGGGTGGCCGACGGTGGGACCGATAGCGGGCCTATCCGATTGGGTGGACGGGGCGGGGTCGATGGTTGGCTTACCCCGGTGGGTGGGCGGCGGTGGGACCGATAGCGGACTTATCCCATCGGGTGGACGGGGCGGGGCCGATGGTTGGGCTACCCTGGTGGTCGGATGGGGCGAGACCGATGAGCGGCCTACCCCGGCGAATGAACGAAGTGGGACTGATGGGTGACCTATCCCGGAAGTGGACGGGTGGGACCGATGGATGGCCTATCCCGGTGAGTGGGCGTGGCGGGATCGATGGCTGGCTGCAGGGCTTCCAGTCTGATGTCAGCCCTGTGGGGTGTCAGGCTAGTTGTTGGGATGTAATTTTCAGGAGCATTGTCCAGACGACTCTAAAGCTTGATGACACGGTATGCTGAAGCGCGTCCGGCTGATCAGCTGAATGCGAGGCGCTCAGGCGGCGATGGTTGTGGGTCAATTTGACCCCACTGAGATTTCCGAAATTAGAAGAGATATAGATACCAAGGTCACAGGGTAGGTAAGACTGCAGGTAAACGCATTTATGTGAAATAGGTCAACGTCTAGTTCGTGACCTGGTCAACTAAGGTCAAACAACACCAAATCCGAGATATATGTCCGAAGTGACCACAGACTTCACGCAACCAGCTTTGACCTAGGTAGGTTTTGTAAGAGAAAGGTCTCTCATTTTACTTCCAGTTTGATTCTCATTTCAGGCCAGTGACGTTTCTGACATTTAACAGTTAAATCCAAAATTCTCGAAAAAACTGCGGTATTTGAATTCAAAATCTGCACCAAGCACTAGCTTAAGCGAAAACTTCTGCAAAGCAAAAGGTAGAGCCATTTTAGCCATTTTGGGTCAAGCTATTCAAGTCATTCTAGGTCGGTGACCTCCCTGCCCTTACTAAAGTCAATCAGATAAATCCAGTAATGTTTTCGTGGTTACGGAATTGCTAAAAATACGATGCAAAACAGGTTTTCCATTAAAAGTTGCTGGATTTCGATGCTGATCTCGCCTTCGCATGTCAATAAAATGGTCAATGAAATTGGCCAATGAAATTACCTTTGATCCTAATCATGTCTATCCCAGTGCCTAAAGCATCATTTCCTGGCTGTATGACTTAGTCTAGATGCGCGTTGTCACATCAGGTTAAAAGACTCCCTAATCATTGTCTTTACTGACAACTATGACCTGAATTTGACCTCCTCCAGGTCAGCGAACGTTGATGTCATGTATGCATGTTTGCATCATAAATTCGGCTATTGAGATGCATACAGCCGCTCTAAAGCTGACGTTGCTATGCCACATCGTTCGGAAGTTTTTTCTAAAAAAACCTGAAGGGGAGCACGTCTCCAAACAGCATTCATGATTTGGAACCCGTTTCTACACAACACGCATCCTTTTGGGGAATTGAATTGCAACGAGAAGTGGAGATGTATTCAGAATATAAATGTGTTCGACTTGGGTGATAACATTCTTCAACTCAGTAAGGCCATAAGACTACATACAAATCTACGCAGGGTACTTTTTTGCATAAAACGCTTATGCTTGAAGTGGTCATATTGAAACGCGCGGAAGACATGAAATTAGGGCTGTCCTCCGCGTGTTTGATGATTTAGTTTATTCATCAAAAATTCCATCCGATCTGTTGCAAATTTCCAACTCAGTCACAAATCTATCCGGAATCAGGCAGCACCGTGCGCTGGCTTACGGCGACTCTCCCTTGCCCCAGGTAAAATAGCGGATGAGGAGGCCGTGCTCAAATGGTTGACTGATGACAAAACGCTGGAGATACCCGATGCCATCGAGGAGGTCAACGGTCGCATGCTGCACAAATTCATTGAGGACGAGGATGACGACATTGTAGCCTTCTTCTGTGAGTTTCGCCTCTCTCGTGTTGTCTTTACCCCGGCGCTCTGAGAGACTGTGCTAAGATATTTACGTGCCGTAGCGGAAGTCCATTCGGCAGTTGTGCGCATCGCCTGTGTTTAACCTGTGGTCGTTATAAATCGGATTTACGAACTTGTAACTAGGATACCTGCGTAGCCTGCCACCAGCCTGTGTATTTGCTGGGCCACAGTGTTTGTGTGGTTCGACTGTCGCGCAAAAGTGATCCGCAATTTAACAATGTTGCTAAAATCGCTCTGGATATTTTGTCCTTGCTGTCACTTTCATGTTCTTGCTACGCAGACAAAAAGAAAGACAAGAACGCAGACATCATTCTGCAGGAGCTGGAGCACATCGACGACGACACGGAAAAGGCCGGCATCACATTTGTCAAGTGCTCCGACTCGCTGGCGGCCAAGCAGTATCAGATCTCCAGGCCCGCCATTGTATTCTTCCATGACGACCAGCCCGTTCCGTACAAAGGTCGGTGGAACGCGTCACATCAACAGTCTAGTGGTGTTAAGGGCCTACAATGGGAGTTAAAGGTAACATGTGGTATTTAAATATCTGATCATTTACGGTGTCAGTAACTTACATAAGCTCACCCTGATGTTGACCTCCACCGCCAGGCACTCCGCTTTCGCTTGCTGTGCGTTTTTTACGTAAAGCAGACATCCACCATAGATGTGGTTGTTTTGTAAGCTCTTTCTTCATTCGAAACATTCAGCGCGATAATGGTTGGCCAAACTCTACACCTGAGTGTGTAGTCACACATTTGTGCCTCGCACAAGGTGACCTGAAGGACGAGGAGAAGATTCTGGCATGGCTGATGGAGGTGAAGGACGCTGAGACGGAGGAGGTCATCGAGGAAGTTAAGGGGGATGCTCTGCAGAAGCTCGTCGACGACCTCGACTACCTCGTTGTATTCTTCTGTAAGCCGAACAACGTATTTGTGAATTGTTGTACATCTATGATGTCATCATAACAGACACGGACTGCGGACAGCCAGGGGCGGATCCAGGAATTCGTCAAGGGGAGACACGCAATGCTGTGGGGCCCCTAGAGTTTCGGGCCCCCTCCATAAACTATCATCGCATTTCGGCCATTAAAGGTTTAAGATAACTAGAAAACAGCATATATATATATATATATATATATATATATATATATATATATATATATAGTATATATGGGAACCCATCTTGCTGTGCTAAAGTTGGGCATATTATGCATGCACATACATGGAGCCCATTCATTTTCTCCAGATTACGTTAAATCCTGTGATTTTGAGGCTAAGCGTTTTGGAAGAGCAGACAACATGAACTCAAGTCCGCTGCTAAATAGTATTAAACCAAGCGCTGACTCGATTCCTAGCTTGTTTACGGCTAGCCGGCTGGGCGATGTAATCAGCGGGCGGCTGGTAACTAACATAACAATTTTTTATTTGTGATCCCCTGTGCGATCAAAAGTGCCCGGGCAGGTAAACAGAAAGAGCCTGATAGAAGTGAAAAGTCCTCCGCAAATGAGATCAGGGGGAAAGAGCCCTCGATTAAGGTAGGGGGGTCCTGAGCATCGAGTGTTTCGGCGTCTTACCTTGTATGAACTCTAGCAACAGCACAAGGCCTTCCCAACACATGGAAAGAATCCGAGACTTATATGAAAGGCTCCTGAGCAGCTTAGTGTACGTTGACATATGGGACCCCGGAAAAACTGTATAGAGCCTTTCGGGAGAATAAGAAGAATAGGTGGAGGGCCCCTGATCGATCAAGAATGCCTAGACATGGAAGCAGGGTGTCCCAACAGTAGCGTTGAGATTATTTACGGAAAAATGGAAAAATGTTGAGAGATCAAAGTTAACGTGGAAGGTCCCTTGGTGATCAGATTGACCAAGCAACTGGACATATATGGCTTGGGCAACAGCGTTAGTCCTCCTTCTGAAAAGCATAATGAACCCCACAATTTCCCTCAGTCACCGCCCCTCCAATCAGCAAAGATTTAAATTTGCTCGCTTATAAGCTCTGCACTTTCGTTTGCAACTGGTCTATGTCGTCTGTAAGCCCAAACGCGTTCAACTTTGTTGTGTTTTTTAATTAAAAATATGTGTTCCTTCAGCCGGTTATCGGCCACTTCAAAGTCTATGGGTCCCCTCGGCATGGTCCATAGGGCGTGGTCCAGTGTTTTCCCCCTCCCCCCCCCCCCCCCGCCCTCCCCCTCTGTATTCGCCACCGCTCCGAGCAGCGCAGCAGAGGGGCCCGCCAAGAACATAAGGTCATATATTCAAATAAGAAGCACTCAAGACAACATGGAGGGCCCCGAAGTGATCAAGTGCGCCAGAGCAGGTTAACAGATAGGGCTCCCGTCAAGAGCGTAGGGCCTTCCGTTCAAATATGGAATACCCACTACGCGATAAAGAGGGCTCTCGAATGGTCGAGTGCGCCAGAGCAAGTTAACAGATAGGACCCTCCTCAAAAGCGAAGGGCCCTCCATTCAAATAAGAAACGCCCAAAATCCAAAGTAAATGGCTCCCGAACGATTGAATGCGCACGAGCAGCCTAGCAGAAAGGGCTCGACAAGAGCATAGGCCCCTCATTCAAATAAGAGGTGCTCAAAACCCAGTGCGGAGAACCCCCGAAAGATGAAGTGCACACGGCAGATCGTCAGATGGCCCCCGACAGGAACGCAGGACCCTTAATTCGTACACCAAGAGCTAATGTACAGGGTCCCCAAACAATCCATTGTAACCAAAGAGGCGAACAGAGGATGCCCCGACAAGTGCTTGGGGTCCTCCATTCAAATAGGAAGCACCCAAGACACAGTGCGGGGGCTCCCGAACAATCGAGTGTGCCTGAACAGGTTAACAGATGGGGCCCCGACAAGTGCGTGCGGCCTTCCATTCATATAGAAAGCACCCGAGACCCAATTTGGTGTGCCCCGAAAGACCGACGTGGCCAAGGAGATTAACAGATGTGCACACGACAAGAGTAAACGGCCTAAGCAAGTCGCAGAGAATTGGAAGCGCCCTAGACTAATGTAGATGACCCATGAGCATTTCACAACTGTGTCGGTAGGTTAACCGAGACCGACTATAAAGGGCGGTCTCTCCTGAATAAGCGAGAACATCCCGGCAGGTAAACATATTGGCCCTCGGCTATAGCCTACAGACCCTTTCCGGCCATGGGCGTAGGAACAGGGGACCAGATGGGCCACTGGCCCCCCACTTTTCAAGGTGGGGGGGCAGCAGTGTTAACTGCCCCCCCCACACTTTTAGTTTAAGGTTGTGTTAAGCTTACTTTTGCACCACATGTTAATATACACGCCGATTTGCCTAGTTTACCAGCCATATTCCTCAAGATGCGTCATCTTTTTCGTTTGCTTATTGGCCATCAATTAGTATCACAGCCGCAGGCCGACGCCACGCGGCCCATGGAGACTGCAACGCCGGACGTTCAGCCTACTGTTGCTATGACTTGCGAGCGGTTATGTTCAAAACCATATTGCATAGTTTTTTATCGGAAATCATTCTGACTGAATATTGAACATTTTAAGACGAACATGAACTAGTCATGTTGGTACAAGCTTAGGACCCCATTTAATCTACAATATATGTTCAGGGATTCCTCAATATGTCTGAAGAAACCAGAGAAGCACGGAACTGGAACCTGTGTGACAATTATTGGACCATCTTTGGCGATTAGGGATGTTGTTGCGTCAATGAGGGTTTCTGTGCTGGGCCGGGGCCAACTGCGCGGGTCAGATGGCCCCCCATGTCAGGGAGGGGAACAATGTGATATGATATATATTTACAATGGCCTCCGGATCGACCAGGAGATCCCGCCCCGTGTCGCTAGGATGACAGCCAAAAGACGCTTCGTGATGGGACGGCGTGGTCCCTCGGCTCTTGACCGGAACCCGTAACGTGCGATTGGTGTTCTGTTCGACGGACCCTTTGCCCGGAAGGAAATAAGGGACCTCTTTATTGTTGAGTAGAATGGAGGTCTTGTTATTGCTGAATAGAGTAGGTCGAAACGATTTTTTTCAAACGAATAAGGCCATCCCATGTTTGCCTAAGAACGCTCATTTTTCATAATGGAGTGGTGAACAAGTGCATCAAAAAGTTTGAACATGCCCGCCCGCAACCTCAAGAGCAAAAGGACAGCGATGGTCTGGGTTGCAGCTTTCGTAAAACCGAACGGCTTCGGCCACTGCAAGCGCCGCCAGACGGCGGGCGCCGAGTTAGTCTATCTTCTGGACAAATTAACAGTTACAGAAACATGAAAAATAGAAAATCTTCCTTTACTCTTCCAGTTTCACCACCAGCTTCCGGCACTTTTCTGCGGTGCTGTAAAGGCCAATCCAGTCTTATCACCAGTCTAAAAATCGCATACGTGAAATGTGCGCCCAGACTGCCTTGTACATGAAAGATTTGATGTCCTGAAGCGTTCAAAGGTACTTCTCTCAGAAGCGTTATCATTTTCGTCCACTCATTGGCGACGGCTCAGTGCTAACTGTTGAGCTGACGCTGCCCGGTCTACGGAGACTGCAACGCCTGGAGTCGAGATTTGTTAAACTGAGATTTGCGAGTACGCATGCTCAAAATTATGTCACATAACTTATATTACTAATCGATTCAAGTTGTTAGGGGTAATTATTTCGGAACCGTTATCATTTTCGTCCACCGGTGGACCATGACGAAAAGTTAACCACGCTCCGCGGACTATGGAGACCGCAACGCCTGGTGTCGAGGTTTTCGTCGATAAGATTTGCGAGTGTGCATGTTAAAAACCACGCTGCATAAATTGTATCGCTAATCGATTCTGACTGAATGTTGAACATTTCCAGACAAACATGGCTTGGCGATGTTAATAAACATTGTTGACCATTCGATTTACAATCAGAATTTTCAAGTCTCGATCAAACGCATCGATCTGCAATCTATCTTCGGAATGTCCTCAATGTCTGTAGAACGCAGATAAAACATTATGAAACCTCCTGAATTTGTATCGGTTCAGAAAGAGCCCACTAAGCCATTGCAAATTAAGGACACCGGTGATTTATTTCATGCGGGAGTTAAACGCTTGATTTCTGCAGTTCATTGGCCTTAACAAGCGCTCGGGTGGGGGTCAAATTGGCTCGCCTCCGAAAATTTTTCCAGAATGGTTTCCGAACGGCGCGGTTGCACCGCGCCGTGTTTTGCAAAGCTGTAGACAATTGAATAGTAGGTCGTTTGGAATTAAAAAAATTAGATGTACTTTGTAAGGTCGCTGACCTATGGTAGGTCAAAGTCAGGCCATGGTTTCAGCGAAGTCAACTTCTAGGGAATCCTTCAATCTGATGCAGCAATGGAGTGCTAGACGAAACCATACATCTCTGAGATGCTTTCTTAGGCAACACAAATATTGAATGAGCAAATAACATTGACCTAAGTTCAGGTATAAAGGTCACACCAAGGTCAAAACCAATTTGTTTTATTACTATAGGGCTTGCTGTATGGGATAATTTCTTGTGTTCATTTCGATTTTTTATAGCAGGTATCGCACTGTACATCGTCCATGAACTTCTTAAAGGTCCGAATAGATCATTGACCTAAAATGACCTAGGTCAACATTTTGTTTTTACAAACATGCTGCTTAGCGCAATCTTTCTCGCGTATTCAAATGCAAAACTCAGAGCAGTCTTGTATGATTTTGGTCACCACGACCTTCAAAATGTCCAACAAGGTCACTGACCTTAATTGAACATGTGACCTTTTTGCTAAGCAACAGTTATCTAGGTTATCGGGTACGTTATAGAGACCAACCAGGAATTTGACTTTGTTTGACCTTATCTGATCCGAAAGACATGACGTAGGAACCTTAGACTTTGACCTAAGTGAGTTCACGAACTGAACTGAACTGAACATTGAACTGGCCGACACACCCTGTGAATTTGGTGTATCTAACTCTTTTAGCTCCCGAGATCTCAGGGGGTCAAATTGATCTCTCCAGAGCAAGGCTCTGGCTACTCCCTGCGTACACGCAAAAGCAGATCAAGTCATCTATGCTGAATGACAGGCAATTAAATTTCCGTTGGGCCAATATATACCTAAAGTAGGAAACTTCCCGGCGGCATTTTTCTGGGGTGATGTGGTGTAAGGAAAGATCGTTCGGAAAAGGGTACTGTTGCAGGTGTCCCACACATGTTTTGCATTCCGATTAGTAGCAGTGATACTCCAGAAATGTGCAACAAAGCAGCCATACCATCAGTTCGCGCTTAGTCGTTCGGAGACAGCCGGGCCAGGACAGTGGCCACCGACATCGGACGGGAGCAGGGCTCAGACAAGGAATATATGACAGAAGGGCCCTCATTCTGTGGCTTGGCTTTCAAAGAAGAATTTTCAGTTCTATGGCTTTTGTCACATAGTTTTTGGCAGTTTCAAGCTTCCGAATTTGTTTCCGCATAAAATGCCGCCACAAGTTTATCTCTTGAAAAGCAGGCAGCGAAATGAAGGCGCATGCAAAATCGGTTATACAGTGAGCTGACGATTCATTTTCAAAGCTTTCACCAGCCTATGCTCAAGCCATATTTTGGTATCTACCCTGTGGAGACAGATGCTTCCTCCAGGTGCCAAAATGCCCACCCGCTCGTTGAATTTCGGCTCTCTAGGAAAGACAACGTTGAAATGGACGAATAATCTTGGGAAGGTGGATGGCCTAAATCCCGAATGACATAGATGACTCTCATAGGCAAGAGTGTGCACCAGCAAGAAATAGCTTTAGATACATATCTAGAATACCAGTCATTATTTTTGAATGAATGAATGAATGGCAATAATGACCGCCATCTGTACCCTCCCCCCCCCCCCCTGGTCATCGGGTTTGCTTTCCAAAAAAGTTCCTGAAGTACGCCCTGGGCTTGGCCCCCCACTTTTTGAAACGTTCCTATGTTTCCAGCGAATGGAAAGAATCTGTGGAGGGACTCTGCTTGACAAGAGTGCCCTGGCACCCTAGCAGGAGGGCCTAGCAACAGCGTAGGACCCCCAAGCAAATGCTAAAAATCAAGGACAAAGTAGAATGCTGCTTAACGATCAGAATGACCCTGCAAGTGGGCATTTAGGTCCTCCATAACATAGGGCCCCTGGATAGCGTAATGCGGGTTGAAATTCCCAAATAACTGCTTTTCAATAATTAAAGTTTTGTTTTTGCCTACTCGTGGGCCCTTTACTCTCGCTTGCGGCGTTCTTGGTCACCTGTAAATCCAAAAACGCCCAATTTTGTTGCGTTTGGTGTTTTAAAAATATGCACCTGTTCAGTCGGCTGGCCCCTTCGGAGCCAATGGGCCCCTTTGGGGCCCAATGGTGAGCCATGACCCCGTGCCCCCCCCCCCCTCCTCCCCTCTGGATCCGCCCCTGTGGACAGCACTTGCACATAATATGCCATTCAAACGAAATGCATTGTGTCGAAAAGGGAAAAATATATTTCTCAACCTTTCTTGAACCCCGCGTCAGATGTGTACACGTGTTCACCCCTGTCTCGCATACCTGCCTAGCGAGTTGCACGAGTTATGTGCATGCCAATTTGCGCTGTCTGTCAGACGAGGAAAAGTGCAAGAACTGCGACGCTATCCTGGCTGAGCTGGAGAACATTGACGACGAAGCCGATGACGCCGGCATCCACTTTGTGAAGACCACCGACACGGGGTTCGCAAAAGGCTTGGGCATCCACGCCTTCCCCACGGTGGTCTACTTCGAGGACTCCGTCCCCATTGTCTACAACGGTGAGAGCCCTCTCCGCTACCGCCTGGGGAGGCTGCGGGAGCGGTAGATGCCCGAATGGCGCCTGCTGCTCTCCGGTTACAGTAGCAGGCACTAGGCCGTGGTAAGGCAGATGTGGCGGTTGGCGTTTGTTATCGGCTTGTGATGGCTGTTTCTTCGAGTTCAGCGCACCGGAGACGGCCTCTAGACTAGAAGCGATATCTGATGTTACGATGGTTAGACGGCGATTACCGATTACAATCGTTACTCTCGACAAGGGCTCGTCATTTCATGGCGTTGTACACCGAACACGGGATTGTGACAACCCGTGCGTTTACTTGAAATGTAGTCCTATCAATACCGATGAATGATTGTGGTGATATGGGGACAGCTTAGACAGCTATAGTTCTTCTACGTGCTTATTGTGCGCAGGATTTGCCTTGCTACTTCTGTTGAATAGGATAGACGGTACGAATGTACATAACTCAACTCTTCGGGTCCTTGTTAAACGTCTGTCGTATTTCGCAGGCAGCGGTCATCGCCATATTTAGAACAGTGACGATTTTGGTGGTATCTCTTTGTTTTTCATAGTTAGTTTTATGTTCATTTATAGACTTGTAACAAAATGCCTCCTTTGTGTTTCGTTTCCCTTTTGCTCCACCCAAACGGTAACCTTGACTATTTTGCTGCTTCGTACGGATCCCATCTCTGACCCGATGCCATCCTAAATATTCTAGGTGACCTTAAGAAAGAAGAAGCGCTGCTGCAGTGGGTTTTGGCCCAGAAAAGTAAGCACATCTCGACTCAGCAATTCGTTGCACATTGCTCTCAGCTCCCTGCAGGGCTGCGTTTCCTCCGCGCGTAGGAACACTAAACGCTGGCTGAGAAACAGCGGGAAAGCACTGCCGCCACGGTTTCACTTTTCCTCCGGCCTGGCGCCGGCGTGACTGGTCTGACTCTGGTCCGGCTCTCGACTCCGCCGCCGTCGCTTGGCCGAGAAAGTCCGCGTCTCGCGCGCGAGGTCGGCTCCGTGCGCGCGTCAGCGCCGTGCCGCAGCGGCACTTGTGGCCGCGGGGTGCCGCCGCCGGGCGCCACCAGCGCTTGCGGCCGTGGGGTGCCGGGCGCCACCAGCGTTCGTGGCTGCGGGGAGCCGCCGCCGGGCGCCACCAGCGCTTGCGGCCGTGGGGTGCCAGGCGCCACCAGCGCTCGTGGCTGCAGGGTGCCGCCGTCGGGTGCCACCAGCGCGCTGACGCGCTCCGTGTGACCCGCAGGCGACGCCGCCCCCACCACCGCCACCGCGCCCTTCTCGAAGGAGCAGTGTTTCTCGATGAAGGTGGATGGCGGCAGCGCGTACCAGTGCTGTCCGCCGCCGGGCAAACGGCCAGGAAAGCAGGGTGATTACCGGCCGAACAGTGTTAGTGCTCCGTCGCCGAGCCAAGTGCATGTCGTCTGTGCTGTGGCCTGCTGGGCGCTGCTGGGCCTTCTCTGAGCCGCCGTCCGTCCGCCGCTCGCCGCCGCCACCGCGTGCGTACCTCTCTGTCGATCTCCGTTCTCGGTGCTCGCTGCCGGTCGTCGCGGCGGGCAACCGGGCGGCGCGTAACCCCGCGCGGCGAGCTCGCTCGACTCACTCGCTCGCTCGCTCTCGCTCTCCTTACCGCTCTCGTCGCCTCGCTGTCCGCCGTTTTGCGGCCGTCCGTTGTCTGTCGCTCTGGGTGGAGCTCCGGCGCAGCAGTGCTTTCCTGCATGTTACTCACGGCTGGTTCACACAAGCGGTGCATTAGCCAGACTTGCGCGCGGTGCCGTTCGGAATCGGCTGACAGCGCTCACAGGGGCCGCGCTGGACGCGCGCTCTCGCTTTGTCGCGTGCGCGGCAGCCGACTAATCGCTCGGGTGCGTTTTCTTGACTAAACGCTAGCCTGGAGAGCAGTACATTGCCTCAGGGGCGCGACTGAAGTGGACGTCTCTTTGTACATGCAGAGTACCCCATAATGAGATAATTTCCACTGAGTCCTCGCCGACCTAATCTGAGAGGTATGCCTAAGCCCCTCCCCATTCTCTTCCATCTTTGCTCGTATTTTCCCAGAAAGAGGGAATGTTATATAGAAGAAATAACGACCAACCTCCGGAAACCTCAGCCCATTTCCTTCATCTCTTTAAATGTAACGTGAGGCACCGCGATTTCTATTCGTGGCCTATTTATTCGCCAGTAATACCTCTTCTACCCTTTACACTGCGTTGCTAGGTAACCACCCCTCTTCTGTCGGCAGTTTGAATGCAGTGACTCTCCGCCCTAATTTCGTTGGTAGACTGTCTGTTCCTCTGTGCCAGCCTCGGGTGTGACGCCGGCCACCGTCTGTCCTTGGCTCTGTTTGTCCGCCTCGTCGCTGGGCGCTATCGGAGCCACCGCCGCCGCCTGCTGTGGTATCCCAGCGCCCGCTGCGCCGTCTGAGTCTGATGGGAGCCGCCAGCTGGCAGGATCTGTCACATGTCAGCTAGGCATGTGGCCGCCAGCCACCCTGATAAGCGCCTCCTCGCCTTTCAGGGGAGCTCACGGACGAAAATTCGGTCCTAGACTGGGCCGTGAAGGTGAAGGATGACGATTCCATTGAAGAGATTGATCGCCCCACCCTGCTGTCTTTGATCGACAGCGAAGACTATTTAGCTGTATATTTTTGTGAGTAAATGCATTCGCTACATGTACTATTTTATATTTCTGAACATTCGTCGAAAATGTTTTGAGAGCTTGCTGTCGATCAGAGGACGGAAGTTAGCTGGGATTAAACTGTAACATATCTGATCACCTTTTGATTTCACGAATGTACTTGCTGATAAGATCCATTCAGATCACCAGGTTAGACTCAACTGATTATGAAATATTGAGTGGCGTCAACGACAAGGTAATTTTCCTCCCTCAAACCCATATGACAAACGTTCATATACCTGGTTTCGGCGACAGCTTATTGGTGCTCGTTTTATTTCAGATGTTGATAACTCTGAGAGTCCCAAGGTGCTTAAATATATGGAAATGATTGATGATGAGGCTGCCGAATATGGCATCCACTTTGTGAAGATCGATGACAAACTGATGGCCAAGAAGTTTGGATTCCGGGACCCTCCTGGATTGGCCTACTTTCGGAAAGGAAAACACATCAAGTTCGATGGTGCGTCTTGTTAACAAGCCACCGTTGCAGCGCATTATGTGAAATCAGAAATCTGTCGCGCCATTGCTCAAAGAATGTGTCTTAGACTCGCCTAGTATTTCCAGCTTTGGTGAGCTACGCTACAATCGGTGATTTTTAACTATGTTCACTGCTAACCTGCCAATGACATCGCTGGAAAAGCTCTGGCTCAAATTATACGACACACGCAACATTTATAGCGACATTTATAGCATAGACCCGAAACTGATGGCGGCTTACTACCTTTGTCTTGCTTGATAAATGGTGCGTGGAAAATATTGACGCTTGGCACTTGGAAAATGAATATTTCAACATGGAAACGCGACTCGCCAGTTCTAGTTGATTCATAGAGATTGACTTTGCATTGTGCTGCGACAAAAAAAAAGAAGAAAAAGGACACTGCCCATGTCTTATGCAGGTGACCTGTACGATGATGAAGAGGTACTGGACTGGCTGACGAACCCTGACAACATGGAGATGAGCGACGCTATAGAAAAAATCAACCGCAAGATGTTCTCCCGTCTGGTGGAGAGAAACGACCACTTTTTTGCCGTCTTCTTCTGTAAGCGCCATAACGGGATATCGTGTTACGGTCGGGCATATTCCTCCTGCTGCTGATGCCATTACACTACTTTGCTCGATAATTTAGTTTACAAATTTGCTTAGTAGCAGGTCGTTAAGTATTTGACTTTGCTTTATGCCGACCTAGTCCTGTTTTGCCAGTCACCCAACCGCACGCGAGATTCAGCCGGTGTCTGCACATCACTCGCGTAGCCTGCGCAGCAGTCAGGCCCGTTCCCCCTCCCCCCCTCTCGCCCCCTCCCCTCTTTGTGGCCTGTCCCCCTCCTCCCGACCACCGCAGTCCGGCCAGTCCCCCTGACCATCGCAGTCAGGCCCGTCCCCCCCCCTCGCCTGACCACCGCAGTGGAGTCCGTCCACCCGCGATCACTACAGTTGCGCCCGTTCCCCTGACCGCCGCACGCCGTCCGCAGATAGCGACAAGAACTGCAAGCAGTGCGAGAAGGTGCTGCAGGAGCTCGAGCACATCGATGACGAGGCGGGCGCGGCCGGCATTGACTTCGTCAAGATCGACGACATGGAGCTGGCGCGGCAGTACGGGGTGTTCGCGCTGCCGGCCGTCGTCTTCTTCCGCGGCGATGCTGAGCCCGTCATCTACGCCGGTGAGGGGCAGGTGCCGCGCAGCGGATTTTGTGACCGGGAAGCAGTGAGCTCCCCACCCACTATACCCTGGCTGGGTGTTTACGTTCTTCCGGCGGTCGGTGTGAGAGCTTGTGACGCGGATTGTAATGGCGGTTACGTGCGTTGTGAAATTGGCTATCATTCACGCGTGGTTGCAATACCTGTTTGCGTTGTGTCCGTGCAAAATGTCTCTTATTGGCGCTCCGTTCTTCTGAAGAACACACCTAAAAATATACGTTGCCCGGCTTAGGTGATCGCCACAAGGATCCGGAAACTTCATTAGGATGCCACACGGGCTGTCTGGCTCTCCTGATGTTGATGCACATTTGCCGATGAAGGTCATCACCACAGGCGCAGGAACGCCTCGATAAGTGGAGGGGAGCTCAGGGCGTACTTCAGGAACCTTTTTCTGGAAAGCAAGCTCGGTGACCGCGGGGGGGAGGGGGGTAAAGATGGAGGCTGTTATCACTCTTCCTCTTTATTCGAATGCCATGGCTGCTTTGCTAGATATGCATCTATAGCTGTTTCCACTGGTGCGCAATCTTGCCTATTCGACTCATCTATGTCATTCGGCAAATAAGGCTATCCAGCCTCCCAGAACTAGTCGTTCATTTCAACATTGTCTTTCCTGGGGATGCAAAATTCTACGAGCGGGAAGGCATTTTGGGTCATTGAGAAGGCATCGGCCTTCACAGGGAAGATGCCAAAATACGGCCTGGACAAAGTCTAGTGAGAATGAGAATGAGCAAATATACAGAATGAGAAAATCTGTTAACCTGCTCGGGCACATTCGAATATCCCGGGGCCCTCCACGTTATGTCTTGGGTACTTCCTATCTGAATGGAGGGACCTACACACTTGTCGGGGACCCCATCTGTGTGCCGCTTCGGCCGCATTGGATTGTTCGGGAGCCCTTTATATTGGGTCTTGGTGTTTGAATTTAGGGCACTGCACTCCTGTCTGGGTCACCTGATAATCTGCTCTGGTATGCTCCATCTTTCGGGGGTCCTCCACCCTCGGTTTTGAGTACTTCTTATTTGAATGAAGGCGCCGTGCGCTCCTGTCGGGCTCCTGATACGCTACTCGGGCACATTTCATCATTCTGGAGCCGTTTACTTACCATCTTCAGTGCTTCTCCTTCGAATGGAGGGCCTTACGCTCTTGTTGGGAGCTCTATTTGTTAACCTGTTTGGGCACACTCAATCATTCGGGGGCCCTCTACATTGGGTCTTGGATGTTTCCTATTTGAATGGAGGGCCCTGCGCTTTTGACCGGGCCCTATATGTCTACTTGCTCTGATACGCTGGATCATTAGAGGGTCCTCTGCATTGGGTCTTGAATACTTCCTATTTGAATGGAGGGTTCTACGCTCTTTTTGGGAGCCTTATCTGTGAAGCCGCTCGGGCACACTCAATCATTCAGAGGCCCTCTACATTGGATCTTGAATACTTCCTACATGAATGGAGGGCCACAAGCTCTTCATGCGGGCCCTATATGTTAACCTGTTCTGGCGCACTCGATCGTTCAGAGCCTTACACATTGCGTCGTGAGTATTTCTTATTTGAATGAATGGCCCTATGTTGTTAGCGGGTCCCATTTATTCACCTGTTCGGGCCGGTGGCAGATGCAGAGGGTGTGGGGGGGGGGGGGGGCACAGGACCATGTCCCATGGACCATGCTGAGGGAACCTAAAAGCTCCGAAGGGGTCCATGACCGGCCGGACGGACGCAGTTTCCTCACAACAAAAACACATTACAAAATTGGATGCATTTGGGCCCACAGATGACTAAGAACCATTGGTAGCAAAAGTAGAGAGTTCATAAGTAAGCGAAGTTCATTCTTCGCTGATTGAGAGTGTTGCTTGGGGGAACTTTTGAAACTCGTTACGCTGTCTAGGGGCATTACGCTGCTGGCTGCCTGTTCCTATATGTCCACTTGCTGCGTCAATCTGATCGCTGAGAAGCTTTCCATGTTACCCTTGATCTCTTCCCATTTTTTAGTAGGACCCAATGTGCTGTTGGGACGCTATCTGCCTCCATGCTTGAGCACTGTTGATCAGCCGGGTTATCCTCCACGGATTCTACCCATTCACCCAAAAGGCTACATACACTTTTTCCGGGGCCGCATATGTCAGAGTACACTCAGTTGCTCAAGGGTCCTTCATATAAATCTCAGGTACTTTCTACTTGCTTGAAGGGCCTTGTGCCGTTGCTAGGGCTCTTATAAGATAAGGCACGGAGATGCTCGATGCTCAGGAGCCCCCTTCTTTGATCGAGGGCTCTCTCCCTTTGGTCTCATTTGCGGCTGGCTTTTCACTCCTATCGAAATTCGTGTTGTTAACCCGCCCGTGCACTCTTGATTGCACAGGGGTATTAATTTATAGTCTTGAATAATGCCCTGTGCTCGGAGGGTCCTGTGCTATGACCGGGGCTTCATAGGTCAGCCTGTCGAGGCACCACCGATTGTTTAGGGGCCCACCACCTTGGTCTTGAGTTCTTCTTGCTTGCTCTGAGGACCCTACCCTTGTTGACGGGAGCCACTGTGTTGGTCTCTTGCGGCACCCATGACCGCTCAGGTTCTGTCCCTATTGGCTTTGGCGCCTTCGCCTTTGAGCAGCAGTCGAATACGCGCCGATGAATGTTTACGCGCAATTGCCGAACGTAATTCTACATGCCTCCACCTTCATATGCGTCATTTTCACTGGTTATGCAGTGTGTCACACTCATTTAGATTTACGGTCAACCTTCACGGGACCCCCAATATATCTGTAGGGTGTGTACTCCCTCTCCCTAGCATTAGAAACTACGGTGCTGTCCGATATGAAAAACCATATTTAGAATTCATTCCACTTTGAAGTGAAGCGAGTTGGCACCATCACGCCGCACCGACAGACCACGAAGCCACCCACTTCGCAGCGGCTGTCGTCGAGATTCGAACCCGGGCTTACCGCGTGCGAAACCAGCGCGCTTACCATCCATGCACTGGAGATACGGGCCCGATGCCCGAAAATTCGTGATTAGAATAGAAATGGTTCAGAGTGAGTTAATTGATTTCGGGATCTTTTTATGTCTGTCATGAATAGAACCAACTTTTTGGACGGGATTCTGCATTTTTGCACTCTATTCCCTCTAAGGCTGCCAATCTGCTTGACACGAACAACCATGTGAAAGGTTTTTGGAGGATGTATAAGCCCGGTGCGTAACCGCCGTCTGTTTTGGAGGGTGTATGAGCCCGGTGGGTAGCCGCCCTCCGTTTTGGTGGGTGTATACGCAATGCCAATTTTATAACATGCGCGCTCGCAAATCTCAGCAACGAAAACCTCGATACCAGGCGTTGCCGTCTTCGTAGTCTACGCAGCGTTAGTCTAGCGGCTAATTTTTTGCTGCGACCCACCGTCGGACAAAAATGACGACACTTCTGAAATAATTACCCTTTGAACACATGAGTCGGCTAATAATGCAAGTTGTGTGATATCACTCGCAAATCTGAGTAACAAAAACCTTGACACCAGGCGTTGCAGTCTCCCCAGGCCTGCGCAGCGTTGCTCAACAGCCAATATTAAGCCGCGGTCAGCGGGTAGATGGAAATGATGACGCTCCTGAAAGAAGTATCTTTGAACGCTTCAGGACATCAAAGCTTACATTTAGAGGGCAGTCTGGACGCGTATTTCACGTGTGCGATTTTTAGACTGATGACAATAACGGATTGGCCATTAAAGCGCCGTGAAGTGGGACTGGAACCTGATGGTGTAACTAGAGAGGCAATGGTAGAATCTTTATTTTTCGTGTCACTGTAGCTGTCCGTTATCCCTTAATCTGCTCAGAAGACAAATAAACACGGTGCCCGCCGCGTAGTGGCACTCACAGTGGCGGACGCCCTTCGGTTTTACGGAAGCTGCAACCTAGGCCATTGATGACCTTGCTCTCGAGGTTGCGGGCAGGCATGTCCAAACATTTTGATGAACACTTTTTCCATTTTTCAGAACATTCAAACATTTTCCACCAAGCTATTCTGAGAAAATAAAAGTTCTCAGGCAAACATGGGATGACCTTGTTCGTATTTTTAAGTTCATTTGGACCCAGTCTGTTCAACATGAGACCCCTGATTCCCTTCCGGGCAAGGGGCCCCTTGAGTAGAACACCAGGGGCACATTGACGGTTCTAGTCAAGGGCTGAAGGGCCACTCCGTCCTATCACGAAGTGTTCTCTGGCTGTCATTCTGGCGACACGGGGCGGGATCTCCAGGTCAATCCGGAGACCATTAGAAGGATATGTCATACCACATTGTTCCCCTCCCTGACACGGGAGCCATTCTGACCCGCGCAGTTGGTCCCGGATCAGCAAAGGAACCCCCAATGACGCAACAACATGCCTGATCGCCGCAGGTGATCCCGCCGTAGGTGGTCCAATAATTATCACACAGGCTACAGTTCCATGGTTCCTTTTTAGCTTTTCAGGGATATTGAGGACTCCCTGAACATAGATTGCTGACGGAATGGGGTCCCAAATTTGTATTAACATGGCTAATCCATGTTTGTCTTAAAATGTTCAAAATTCGGCCAGAGTTGATTACTGATAAAAAGCTATGTAATATGGTTCTGAACATGCGCGCTCGCAAGTCATATCAACGACTGCCTCGACGCCCGGCGTTGCAGTCTCCGTAGGCCGCGCGGCATCAGCTTGTGGTTGTGACACTGAGCGATGGCCAATAAACAAACGAAAAAGATGACGTATCTTGAGGAAGATGGCTGGTGAACTAGGAAAATCGGCATGTACGTTAAATGTGGTCCAGAAGTAAGCTAAACGCAGCCTTAATCTGAAAAGTGTGTGTGGGGGGGGGGGGGGGGCAGTTAACGCTGCTGTCTCCTCCCCCCTCTCCCCCACCTTGAAAAGGGGGCGCATGGACCCCTGCCTCACCCCTGTTCCTACACCCATGGTCATCATGTGGCCGCGCCCTCCCTACCTGATTCTCCTGGCGTTGATACGCATCCGCCGATGGGGGTCATCACGTGGGCGCGCTCACCACGCCTACTGTGCCGCCCCGGCAGGAGACATCAAGAACGAGGAGCGGATCCTGGAGTGGCTGCTGTTGGAGAAGAACCCGGGCAGCGAGATGATAGAGGAGCTGGCCGGCCAGGAGCTGCAGAACCAAATCAGCTCGTCCGGCGCCATCGCC